GCTCCCAACTCAGCCTTCCAAAGTGCTAGAATTACAGGTGTGAGCTGCCACACCCAGCCAAAACATATTCTTTTTATTAAGCACCCTCCCATGATAATTAACCCATCATAACCCTAACGTAACAGGCATTGATTCTTTCATGAGGATTGAGCCTTCATAATCTAATCACTTCTTAAAGGCCCCACTTCCCAATACCCTTACACTGGCAATTAAATTTGAACATGAGTTTTGGAGGGAACATTCAAACCAGAGCAGGCATCTCTGAAGAAACTACAACTAACATCATATCAAAGGGTGATACATTGGATACTTTTCCTCTAAGACAGGGAATAAGGCAAGCATGTCTGCTTTCTATTTAGCACTGTAATGGAAGTCCTAGACAGCGTGAATAAGTAAGAAAGATGAATAAAAGGCATAAAGATTGGAAAGGAAGAACAAAGACTGTTTTTAGTTACAGACAATATGATCGCTTACATAGAAAATCCCAAATAATCTATAAAATAGCAGCTAGAAATATTATATAAATTTAGCAGTTGTAGGGAACTGACATATATTTTCCTAGTTTAAGAATTAAAGTTAGTGAGTAATGTACGTGTTCTGCCCAGAGTATTTGAAAGTAATCTGTTCCAGACAGGCTCCCTGTGATAAACAAAGGTGTTGTCTAGAGGCATAACAAGGGACCTGAGCTGGGAGTAGCAAGAGCGGCCCTACCCCATGGCATTGGGGATCTGGAGGCCACACAATAAACATATTATCCCTGTGATTGCTACGTACACCCCATAAGATGGCTGGTTAGTCAATGACGGGTAAGACTCCTCAAGGGAGGGGCAACCTAAGCCAGGCACAGTCGCCAGGGTTCAGCCGAAGATCTTAGGGGGTTACCTAAGAGAAGCTGGGATGAGAAATGCCCCCTGTGGCTCACCTTGCCCATCCTTGCTAATCTCGGTCCTTTATCTATGCCTAGTGCCTAGAGCAACCACCTGGAAACCTTGAGCCAGGGGATATCTGCTTCCCTAAGGCTATGTATTCCAGAATTTATGGCCATTGCTACAATGCCTGGGCGGTTATGTACAAGGAACTAACTTTAATCTTTTAGAGTATAAAAATAAAACGGACCTGGTGTATTATTACTCTAGTCAACCTTTGTACGTGTGTCTGTGTTTTTCTTTGTGTTCTGCGCATTTGTGTTTTATGTTCTGTGTTCATCCTCTGTCTTGCAAATGGGCCACGACAAGCAGTATCATAGTATACAAGGCCAGTGTCCCCAAATCAATTGTATTCCTATGTAGAAGCAATACACAACTTGAAAATAAAAGAATCTAAACCAATTCCACTAACAATAGCATCAAAAATATTTATAAATATATTTACAGGAGATGTGCAAGATCTGTATGCTGAAACCTTGACAAATATTGTCAAGTTTAAGTAAAGATATAAATATAGAAATCATTTCATGGATCAGAAGACTCGATATTGTTAAAATGTCAATTTTTCCCATTGATCAATACATTCAATGCAATCCCAGTGAAAATCCCAGCAAGTTTTTTTTTAATTGAAAATTTTATTCTATACAAAGTGTATGTGAAAATACAAACTATTTTGGGGAAGGAGAAACAGTGGGAGGACTTAAACTGCCTAATTTCAAGACCGACTATAAAACTACAGTCATCTAGACAATGTGCTATTGGCATGAGAATAGACAAATATTTATAAAAATCAACAGAAGAGTCCAGAAATGGACCCACATGTGTATATGGACGATTGAATTTCAACAAATGCGGTAAGGCTGTTCAATGCAGAAAGAAAGTCTGTGCAACAAATGATGTCCAAACAATAGTAAAATATGGAAAAAATGACCCTTAACCCATACAAGGCAAAGCTGATAAAAAGTTTGAGGCTGGAGGCACCCTGGGGTTCCCTTACCTCCTACCCACTCCCCACCCCCTAAATTGCCCTGTGAGCATCACCAAGGCAGGACCTAGCCTGGAGTGGCTTTCGAGAGGCTGGATTTCATGCGCCCTGGGCCTGGAACAGTACTGGGTGTGGAGGGGCCGCTGGAAGGACTGACCCACGTGGGGACCTGCCCGTGTCATGAGTCAGATTGTCTCCCGCAGTTCTCTTGCTACTGGGCTTTCAAGGATCTAAGGGGACGTAAAGTCCAGAAGAAATATAGAATTGGGTTCTTTGGGCTTGCCTGACACCAGGATAGTAGGGTTGAAGTGACATTGAATTGACCTAAAAACCTGTAACCAGGCTGGACCCTCTGGCTCATGCCTGCAATCCTAGCACTCTGGGAACCCTGAGGCCAGGAGTTCGAGACCAGCCTGCATTAGAGCAAGTTGAGACCCCTTCTCTACAAAAAATAGAAAAATTAGCCCGGTGTGGTAGCAAGCGCCTGTAGTTTCAACTACTAGGGAGGCTGAGACAGATCACTTGAGCCCAGGAGTTGGAGATTGTGGTGAGCTATGATCATGCCCCTGCACTCTAGCGCGAGAGGCAGAACAACACACTGTCACAAACAAATGAACAAAAACCTGAAACCAAAAGCAAGATGATTTACTCGCAAGGTGGTGATGGCAGTAGGGCGTGGGAGTCTGAGTGACTCTGGGTTCAGACCTCGCGGTCACGGCCTCTGCGTCCTTCTTCCATCCACCCATTCGTTCTTTGAGCGCCTGCTCAGTGCCAGCATCCGGCTACTGAGATGCTAAAATCAACGCCTGCCCCGGAAGCCTTGCGCGGGACCAGAGTGGCAAAGCGACTCCAAACACAGTGACTTTACCCAGTACCGGGTCATTGAGGAAGGGGGGAAACAAAAGCTGGGAGGGGGTGGGAGGCAGCGAGAGAGGAGGCAAGACAATTTAGTTTCCTGAACAGGAGCAGAAGGTGCCCCGAAAAGGGGACGGGATGAGGTCGCGCCTCGAATACTGCCTCTTGAACCTAGTTTTCCTGTTTATGACAGAGCGCGAGCTGTTCAGAATTGCACCCTTGCGGATTGCGCAACTCTTGGTGCAAAACTGGGCGGACTCGAGGACCGTCATTTACGGAAGAAAAAAAAAAAGAGAAAGTAGGCGAGACCTCGAATGCTGGGCAATCACAACGAATTCCGGGAGAGCAGCGCGTGGGAACACAAGAGCAGCGTGCGGGGCACAAGTGCCACACACCCGGCAAAGTGCAGGGACGTTTCTGCGCTGACGACTGGCCCTGCGGGGGCCGAGGACAGGAGCGCTCCCTAACGCCATGGGACAGCAGAAACAGAGCTCACCCGCAGGCTCGGGGGCCCTAGCAGGGTGCGCCCCAGACTCCAGGCTGGCGCGGGGAGCCAGGCCTGGTCTCCAGGTCCCCGAGACACTTATGTTCCCTGTGTTCGTCATTGTTGGTGTCCTGCCATCGGTGAGTCTCCGTCGCAGTCCCGGGCTCCGAGCGAGCGCACCTGAGTCCGGGAGGGGGCGAGGGGAATAGGGGATAAAGGGGATACCTGACCTGCGTCACCTGCAACTGAGCATGTCCGGGCAGGACGAACCCGTCGTCGGAGTCGGGAGGAGACTGGGGTTCCCTGGCCCCCGCAGGACCGACGGGGCCGCGAGGGACAGAAGCCTTGGGCTCAGGGGACGGAGCGGGGACTTCAATGTCGCGGCACTCTCCTCTCTACTTCTCTGGATTATGGCACGACACTGGGGAGCAGGCTGGGGCTAAACTCCGGGAGCCACACTGATTCGCTGCAGGGGAGCGATGGTGAGGGAGCCGGAGGGGAGTATTTTCCTCTCTCCACCCCACACCACTCTCCTCCTCCCTCCCTCATCTCCTTTCCCACTCCTTCCTTCTTGTCTTAACCAAATCGATTAAACACGCAGCCAGCGAAAAGTAACTTGCCCTCCGCTGTTGTCTGTTCCTTTGAGCTCCTCTCTCCTGAGTGTCGCCTGGGAGCAGTTTCCTGCCAGTCGCTTGCGAATCAACAGGTTCAGGGCTGTGTAGAAATGAATCGCGCAGCTAGGAAGGGCCTAGCTGGGACGGGCTCGCCTTTCCCTCAGGAAGGGTGCTTCTGAAGTGGTAACTCAGCATGGAAAAAAAAAGTGCTGCCAGTTTTCTGAGTTGATTGAGGCTCCTGCCAATTGTACTCTTCTATTATTATGATACTTTCCTTATGTGGTAAGAGGGGGGAAAGCCTTCTAGTTTCTTTATACCATAAGGGAAAAAAAGCGCCAAATACCCAAGGGACAAATTGATATTACAGGTGTCATGCAATTTTAAGTGTTTTCATTTAACAAATTAATACTAAACTCAGGAAACCAGTAACATTTTGTCATCTCAAAATAATTACAGAATTAATTTTTTAAACAACAGTTTATGTAATATTAGGTGGACCCGCGTTTAATGCTGCTTATTTTTAGTAAGCTTATTAAATAGCTTATGTTTGTCAGGTCAGTGTATCTCCAGGTGAAGGAAGGGGTCACCTGTGTTGACAAGGTCAGAAATCTGAATTTGATGATTTTTGGGAATGTGACACTGTCTTAGTCCATTTCATGTTGCTGTAAAAATACAGAGTCTCGCTCTGTTGCCTACAGTAGAGTGCCGTGGCATCAGCCCAGCTCATAGAAACCTCAAACTCCTGGGCTCAAGTGATCCTCCTGCCTCAGCCTCCTGAGTAGATGGGACTACAGGCATGCGCCACTATGCCCGGCTAATCTATCTATCTATCTATCTATCTATCTATCTATCTATCTATCTATCATCTATCTATCTATCTATATCTGTATATCAAAGGATCCTCCCTCCTGGGCTTCCCAGAGTGCTAGGATTACAGGAATGAGCCACCCCCCCAGGCCTTAACTTTTTGACTCTTATAATAGCACCTAGCTAAAAACACAAACTCATTGTACAGCTATACAAAATATTTTCTTTCTTTATATTCTTATTCTATAAGGGATTCTAAATATTTTTATATTTTTTTATTTTGTTTTTTTCTTTTTGTTAAAACATTTTTGTTAAAAATGAAGATCGCCTGTCCCTCCCCTCCCCACCCCTGGGCGTGTTTCATTAGCTCTCTCTCTGTATTGGCATCCAAGTGTTGGGAAATTTTCGCATTGTCTCAGTCCGGGTGAACATCACGGCTGTGTGAACGTACAGTCCCGAGATGCAATGCCGGGAGGACAGTAATCAGCGCCAACACAGTTTCCATCACTTCGGAGTTCCTCCTTGCAGTGCGTTCGCCGGAGACGGGAGAGCTCCTTCTCGCCATGGGACTGGCCCGGGCAGGGCGCGTCCCAGAACCCGGGTCACTGCTCTGGAACCTCAAGACCCTTATGTTTGTCCTCCTGGTCGTCGGTGTCCCATCGGTGAGTCCCCACCGGGGTTCGTTGCTGGAATAGAGCGCGCCTGGTGCTAGAAGGGGACAGAGGATGAGGGCACAAAGAGGAGTGCTGCCCGAGCACATGTGGCTGGGCAAGTCCGGGCGGGACGAACCTGTTGGTGGAGTCCGGGGAAAGCTCCAAGTCTGGCGCGCCAGGAAGAAGTGAGCTTGCAGTGAATTCCAGGACCCAGGTTTCTGTTGGCCCAGTGGGAACTGCCCAGCATGTCACCAGGACCTGCAGCCTGGGGGTCTACCTCTTCACTCCATTTTTCCTCCCCCTGCTCCTTCACCTCTCCGTTCCTTTCTCTCTTTCTTCTTCCCTACGCCCCCCCCTGCATTATTTTACTTCTTGGGTATTGAATTTAGCTACGTTTTTATTTTGTTTACAAACTTTCGCTGCCCCCCCACACACACACACCTGGAGCCGCCCCACCGCTGCCACTGCACCGGGCTGGAGTACAGTAACTGTCATCACAGCTCGCCGCAACCTCACTCACACTCAAGGCCCACCAGGCCCAGCTAATATTTCTATTTTTAGCGGGGGAGGGTTTCATACTCAGGCTGGTCTCCCACTCCTGAGCTCAAGCCATCCTCCCACCTTGGTCTCCCAGAGTGCTAGGATTACAGCTGTGAGCCACCACACCTGAGCCTAGTTGTGTTCTTTTAAAATACTCTGGTTTCTATTTAAACCATATAGATCTTTTGCCTTTTAAAGTGTATTGCGTACTGGGATCAGTTTGATCATCTGATAGTAACTTGTAACTTACTGTCTTATCTTCATTGCCTTATTCAGGGACTAATTTAGTAAACCACTAAGGGTACAGTGGTTCCCTTCTGATGACAACTGGGCAGCACCCTGTCATCAGGTGTGTCCACCACGGGAAAGGGAACTTGAGCACTTCCCAGCCCTGGGTGGGCCTCCATGCTGGCCATCCCCTAATGTCTGATGTCTCTGCCCGCCTTCTGGCTCCCCTCAGGCACACAGGGGTCTCAGCAGGCACTGGGTGAGCCCTCTGCAGGGCTCCTGAGTCCTCTGTGCTGCTGCTTCTCCAGGGCTCTGCCCTGCACTCACCTCTGGGAGCTCCTGTCTGTGGTCCCCTCCCTGTGCTGCAGCCTGGAGCCTGTCATTAGGCCGTGAACTGAGGCCACCACCAGTCTCACCTCATGTTTCCTGAGGGACAGTTGTTCACCCATGAAGTTGAGGATGAGCCCTTGGCTCTGGGAGAGTCTGTGCCTGGGGTGGGGGGAGGACAAATGAACCCTGTGGGAATTCTGCTTTCTGGGGGCCCACAGCTGGTGGAGGAGGTGACACCAGGGACCTATTTTTTTTTTTTTTGAGACAGAGTCTTGCTTTGTTGCCCATGCTAGAGTGTCGTGGCATCAGCCTAGCTCACAGCAACCTCAAACTCCTGGGCTCAAGCAATCTTCCTGCCTCAGCCTCCTGAGTAGCTGGGACTACAGGCATGCGCCACCATGCACGGCGAATTTTTTTTCTATATATATTAGTTGGCCAATTAATTCTTTCTATTTATAGTAAGAGACAGGGTCTCCACCTCTGCTCAGGCTGGTTTTGAACTCCTGACCTCGAGCAATCCGCCGGCCTCCCAGAGTGCTAGGATTACAGGTGTGAGCCACCACGCCAGGCCCACCAGGGACCTAAATGAATCAGGAGGCAGGAAATCCCACCACCCTGCCTCCCCTTACCTCCAGAGAGGCTATGACGACTCCAGGGATGTCCTTCCTCCATTTTGACTCTGGCAGAGGGGAGCCTGTATGCTTTCCAGGCGCCAGGTTATGTTACTGTTGGCCAGGAGGGTGTGGCTGATTATGATATCATTGGGAGCCATGATTGTGCCTAATCACTGCACGTGCTTCTCGTGCCCTGTTCTCAGCACTTTACACACATATTAACACATATAATTCTCACAACAACCTGACTATGTAGGAACTTTGACTATCCAGGGCAGCTATAAGAGTGTGTGGATGATCTAGAGAAGAAAAAAGAGATTACTTCGGTTTTTTGGTTTTTGTTTTGTTTTGTTTGGGTTTTTTGAGATAGAGTCTCTCTCTGTTGCCCCAGCTGGAGTGCAGCAGCATGGTCATAGCTCACTGCAACCTCCAACTCCTGGGCTCACGAGATCCTCTTGCTTCAGCCTCCCACATAACTGGGACTATAGGTGTGTGCCACTATGCCTGGCTAAGTGTTCTATTTTTGTAGAGATGGGGTCTCCATTTTGCTTCGGCGTTCCTGACCAGTCATGCGTGAGTCATAAGTGGGTGAGTCACCAAAGAAGGACAGACCGATGGAATAGAACAGCAGAGGCCCAAATAAGGCAGTCACCCAACAAGGAAACTTACCTGTCAATGACTATTGCCGGGGACCGGGAGGGGACAGGTTTTCTAGAGTCCAGGCAGGACAAGAACTGGAATAAGCCTCTGTTCTTCCCATTCTCATTTTCCTTATCTCTTAACCACTCTGAAACCCCACCCTGAGCCAGGTCTGTGGACTGACGCGACCTCACCTCTCTGGCTGCAGCCTCAGTCTCCCTCAGTCAGAGACGCCCACAGACTACAGAGCCTCGTCCAGCCTCACTTGCCTTCACCCCCCCTGTCCCACAACTCTGGCTTCACATCCCTCTGGGGGCCCTTTCTGTGTGGCCTTTTCCCTCTATGTCCACCAGTCCCCTGCCATCACTGGCATCTGTCACCTCTTCCTGGGCAGCCCCTCTAGACTCATTGCGCCTTCATCGACTTTGAGGTGATTTTTGGCCTCACTTCCCTGGGAACTGGAACGGCCCTAAGGAAAGGCAAGGCGGAGTCTTGTCCCTGATCTTCCAGGATTCCTTGCACAGTGTGGTCACCTGATGTCAGATGTGCCTTCCTTAGTGAATGATTAACTTGGATTCCAGGAGGCCTGCACTAAGGCAGATGTCACTCATCGCGGTCACAGGGTGTGTTTAATGGGAGACGTGGAAAGTATGCCAGGCGGGTTGAGGAGGGAGCAGAGGATGTGAATAGGATGCTGAGGACAGTCCAGGCCCAGAGTCCCCAGGGACATCCCTGACCCGATCAGAACTTCAAAGACAGTTGGTTGCCCAGTGTGTAGTGGATTAGATGGGTGACCTCAGCAGTGGCCCAGGCAGCACCAGCGATGTGTGCTAGTGGTTAGGTTGTGTGGTCAGTTTACAGCATCCTGAAGGAGGAAGCCGCAGCCAACATGGGTCTGGGGGCAGCGATCATGGTAAAACAGGCAAGTGATGCAATGGATTTGGCCAGAGGAAAAGCAATTCAGGGTGGATTCTAGTTTTCCTAATCTGAGAGTTGTCTCAGGTCATTAACAAAAAAGAGTAAATGGGCATAAAATGGAATTAAGAATTAAAAATCTGGGCCATGTGCAGTGTCTATTGCCTGTAATCCTAGCACTCTGGGAGGCCAAGAAGGGAGGATGGCTTGAGTTCAGGAATTCCTGACCAGCCTGAGCAAGAGCAAGATCCCATCTCTACAAAAAATAGAAAAATTAGCTGGGCCAAGTGGGCATGCCCTGTATCCCAGCTATGGGAGGCTGAGCCAGGAGTTTGAGGTTGCAGTGAGCCATGATGATGCCACTCTACTCTAGCTGCAGCAGCAGAGCAAGACCCTGTCTCAAAAAAAATACAAAAATAGGAAGCATTAGGAATCTGGAATCTGAGTGTGATTTCTGAGACGTATGACTTTTCGTTGCCAGCAGACCTGCGGTGCACAAAGCTAAAGTGGATGATTTCAGTCTAAATAGAGATAACACAAAATGGAAACATGAATCTTATGGAAGGGAGGAATATTGTTAGAAATAGAAATATGAAAGCACAGATAAAGAAGTATTATTTCCTCCTTATTTCTTGAAAAGATATATTGTCAAATAATATAACAGTGCTTGTGGGGTTTGTAACACATTCACGTACCTAAGGCAATTACAGCAGAAGTGTGGGTGGTGGTGATGAATGGATATTTATTATTTCAAGTCCTTTATATTTTACATTAATATTATAATACTAATTCCATAATACAGCTCAGTAATAAAAAGGGATGAAATATTGATGCCTGTGATACTGTGAGTGAATATAGGCTTTTATTGCAGTTTTCTCTTAAAACTTGTTTTGCTGCATCCTATAAGTTTTGGTATGCTGTGTTTCCATTTTCATTTTCTTAAGATATTTTACAATTTCCCATTTAATTTTGTTCTTGACTCATCGGTCATTCAGAAGCTTATTATTCAAGTCCTTTGCCCATTTTTTAATCAGGTTGTTTGATTTTTGTTGTTGTGATGGATGAGATGGAATCCGTTATATATTCTAGATAATAAACCCTTATCAGATATATAATCTGCCAATGTCTTTCCCATTCTGTGGGTTTCCCTTTCACTCTGGCGATTGTCATTTGATGCCCCAAATTTTTACACTTTTACATACTCCGAATTTATCTATTTTTTTCTTATGTTGCCTATGTTTTTGATGTAATATTCAAGAAATCATCGCCAAATCGAAGGTCATGAAGAGTTGCCTCTGTGTTTTCTTCTAAGAGTTTTATAGTTTTCACTGTTATAGTTAGATTTTTGATCCATTTTGAGTTAATTGTTGTATATATGTAAGGCAAAGATACAAGCTTACTGTTTTCTTATGAGTCAATATCCGGATTTCCCAAAATGATTATTTGAAAAGATTGTCCTTTCCCCATTAAATGACTTTTGTACCTTTGTCAAAAAGTTAATACAAAGATATAATTTGACCATATACAGTCATGCACCACATAACAACATGTTTTGGTCAACGACGGATCACATATATAATGGTGGCCTTTTATGAATATAATGCCATAATTTTACTGTACCTTTTCTATGTTTAGATGCCCATATACTTACAGTTGTATTATAATTGTCTACAGTCTTCAGGACAGTGACAATGCTGCACCACTTTGTAACCTGGGAGCTACAGGCTATACCATATAGCCTCAGTGTATAGCAGGCTATACCCTCTAGGTTTGTGTAAGTGCACGCTATAACATTTGCACAAGGACAAAATTGCTTAAGGATTCATTTCTCATAGCATGTCCCTGTCTGTAAGCAATATATGAGCAATATGTGGGCATTCTTTCTGGGTTCCTCTGTTCTATTCCACTGCTCTATATGTTAGGTGCTTTTTTTAAAATCAGAAGCTCACTATTTAATATTTGATCCTAGATCCCAATTTTTTTTAAGTTTGCATACAGTGAACTTCCAGTTTTAAGAACATGTGTGTGTTTGTGTGTGTGTGTGTGTATGTTGGAGAACAAGAGAAAGAGGGAGCCTATTGGTATAGATGGTCAAACAGTGGAACTACATGACATAAAATATTGATGCTAATATCTCTAGTTGAGAATATCACATGTGGTTTTTGTATTATTCTAAAAACTTTACTTGCACATTTTCTGGAATAAACATGTTTTCTATTATAATAAGAGATAAGGATAAAGAAGAGCTTTGCTAGTGGAGGTTATGTGGCCAGCCCTGGGATGTGAAGGGACAAACATAAATATAAAAGAATGTTGGAGAGTTCAGAGCTCAAGAAAGACAGAGGTTCTGTTTAGTTTGGGCACCTGGGGTGAAGGGAAGGTGAGATGGATCCTGGGAGGGGTGAGAGTCTGGAAGCCACTCATGTCTGTCCCTGCTTTGATCCCACAGGTCCTAGCTGACTCTGCCACCACCAAGCAGTACAGGGTTCCCCAGCTGACACCTGCCCCCCAGCGATGGAGGCACAGCCCCGAGGACGGTTTGTGTCCACCAGGTACATTCTATGATCCTTTCTCCTCTTCTCCTGCCTCCACGAGCTTCCAGGCTCTGCCTCCTGAACTCCTGGTTTGTTATTGCAGGGATTTATCAGATGCCTTCGGTGAGTCAAGCACTGTGTAGTGCGGCCAGGAGGATGGGATCCCTTCTGGGAAGGGATGAACATGACAGTCAGAGAGGCCTGGCAGGAACCTTGAGGATTCATTGAGTGGGGCAGAGATGGGGTTGGTGAGGCCTCCCAGGGATGGTGACACTGAGCTGGCATCTCAAAGTTGGTAGGACCAGCAGTGCCTAGAGCCTGGAAGAGCACTCCTGAGAGGGCCCGACAGCAGTGAGTGCTCAGGGGACAGGAGCTGGGGTGAGTGGAGGGAGGAAAGGGCAGGGAACAAGTTGGGGCAGATTACACATGGAGGGAGTTGGGTTTTATTTTTGGGTGATTCATATTGTTGGAAGTTTTCAGCAAAGGGTTGCCAAGAACCAATTGATATTTTTAGTGCTCACTCCTTCATGGAAGGGGGCAGGCAAGACAGGACACAGATGGAAGACCTTATGGGGGCACTCCCTAGGCATGCTATGAAGGCAGCGGGTGTCTCAGCTCTGTGGGGTCCTCTAGCCCCAGGAGTGGCAGCTGTGCCTGTCGGGGCTGCTTGAGTGCTGTGTTTGTCTCACACTTGTCTGCACACGTGGGAGATGGAAATACATCGCCTGCTGCCCAAGGGCTTCTGCAGGTGGCAAGAGTAGCATGCAGTGATTTTTAGAACCATTTATAGATTTGCATTTCATTACGGGGCACCACAGGAGAGGCTGCCCTCTCCCTTCCAGGAGGGCAAACCCTCAGTGCGCAGGAGGGCTTATCTAGGGGTAGAACATGGAGAAGGAGGAGCCCAGGCCAAAGTTCACACATGCTGAACTGTCAACATGCCTGTCGCTGCAGTCCAGGGTTGAGCTGAAGCAGTAGGGAAGACTTTGAATTATTTGGGGTGAGCTATTGGCACTCGAGGATGGATTTTATGCAGGGAGCGAGAACAAGTGAGGCACGAAATCCAACTTCTCAGGGGGAATTGAGTCTCTGAGGGGACAGTGTGTGGCAGGGCCAGCAGTACACATTTGGGGACCCCAGCATATAGGTGATTCATGAAGCCTCAGTCTCATGAGAAGGAAACTGTAGATACTGAAGAAGATGGGGCACAAGGCACCGGACATGGGGACGCCAGGCCCAGCGACAGATCAGTGAAAGGGCTGGGGAGGAACTGTCCGTGGAATTTGCATCCCAGAAGCGGCAGATGCTTCCTTCCACAGAGAGTGGGCACCACGGCCCATGCCAAGCACCCAGACACCGACTCGCCTCTAGATTTGCATTTCGCTTAGGGTGAACAAGGTCAAACATCTGTTCATGAAGCAGATGTCATTTGTATGTCATTTCTGTTAGATTTTCTTCACTCTTTTTTTTGTTGAGACAAGTTCTTGCTCTGTCCCCCGGGTACTGTGCAGTGACATCATCATAGCTCACTGCAACCTCCAACTCCTGGGCTAAAGTGATCCTCCTGCCTCAGCCTCCCACATAGATAGCTGGGACTATGAGTGTGCTTCACCACGCCCTGCTTATTTTCTATTTTTAGTAGTGTCGGGATCTCACTCTTGCTCAAGCTGGTCTCAAACTCTGGAGCTTAACCAATCCTTCCGCTTCAGCCTCTCACAGTGCTGGGATTACAAGCGTGAGCCACCACACCCAGCCAATTGTAGAGTTTAAACCAGTTTCTGCTTAACATAATTACTGGGAAGGCAGTACTTGTTTGTGCTCTTTAGTTACTTGTTTTCTTTATGTCTGATATGTATCTTGTTCCTCAATTCTTCCATTATGGCCTATATATATAAATATATATATTCAGTTGTTTTCTTGGTGTGTGCCATTTTGATTTCCTTCTACTTTGTACCTTGTGTGATCATTAGCATAGATGTTAAGGACATGTGTATGATATGGGGTTGACAAGGGTAGATTCATGATGGTTAATTGTGTCAGCTTGGTTAGGCCACGGTACCCAGATACTCAGTCAAACATTATTCTAGATGTTTCTGTGCAGGTATTATTTAGATAGGATTAACATTTAAATCAGTAGACTTTGTTTTTTGTTTTTTGGTTTTTTTTGAGACAGAGTCTCGCTTTGTTGCCCAGGCTAGAGTGAGTGCCGTGCTGTCAGCCAAGCTCACAGCAACCTCAAACTCCTGGGCTCAAGCGATCCTCCTGCCTTAGCCTCCCAAGTAGCTGGGACTACAGGCATGCACCATCATGCCCAGCTAATTTTTTCTATATGTATTAGTTTGCCAATTAATTTCTTTCTATTTATAGTAGAGATGGGCTCTTGCTCTTGCTCAGGCTGGTTTCCGAACTCCTGACCTTGAGCGATCCACCCGCCTTGGCCTCCCAGAGGCCAGTATGGTTTCTGATGAGAAATCAGTTGATAACTTCATGGAGGTTCCTAGTATGTACTAAGTGAGCTACTGGCTGCTTTCAAGATGTTCTGTTTGTGTTTGGCTTTTGTCCATTTGAGTATAATGTGTCTTCTTATGGTTTTCTTCGAATTTATCCTGTTTAAGGATCAGTTAGCTTCTTGGATGTGTAGACAAGTCTTTTTCAAAAGTCTTGTGCCTCCTTATTTAATCTAGTCCTAAATGTTTTATTCTTTTTGAGCCACTGTGAATGAAATTGTTTTCTTAATTTCATTTTTGGATTGTTCTTTGCTACTGAAAGACTTATACTTTGAAAACTACAAAACATTGCTGAAAGAAATGAAAAAAAAAACCTAAATAAACAGACAGAGACTGCATTTATGGACTAGAAGACTTAAGAGTGTGATGATGACAAATTAACCAAAGCGATATACAGATACAATGCTTATCAAAATCCCAACAGTGTTATTTCAAAAATGGAAAAACTCATACCCAAAGTCATATGAAAATTAAAACAAACTAGATCAACCAAAACAATCTTGTAAGAAAACCAAAATTTGGGGACTCATGCTTTCCAATTTCAAAATGCCTCTCCTTTCTGGGGTAGCTTTGGCTTCCATTTCTTTGGGTTATTCTTGGACTTTCTAGAAGTAGGACCCATTTTCGCTTCCATTTTCCTTCTATGGCTGATGACATGAGCTTTAATTTTGAAGGCTTTTCCCATTATTGTATTACTTCTGCTCCTGTTTATATCTTCCACTAACTGAGAGCTCACTGAGGACAGGTATTGGGACGTCCTTGTGTGAGTTTCCAGGGTGTACGATGGTGCTGTCCAATGTTGGTAGTCAGTAGACCCATGTGACTGTCCATCACTTGAAATATGCAGCTGTACACTGAGACATGCCATGAGTGAGAAATGCACATTATGATTTGAAACATACTATAAAAAAGGTAAAATATGTCCATGTTTTACGCTGATTATGTACTTAAATGATATTAGTTTGGGTATATGATGTTAAAATGTATTATTAAAATGAATTCACCTCTTTTAATTTTTTAATGTGGTGAGTATGAATTCAAATTTAATTTGTGGCTTGCATTATATTTCTGTCAGCAGTGCTGGTCTAAGGTATATAATAAATGCAGAACTGATGAAATGGCCAAGCCAGGTACAGTGGATTTCCCTGTTTGGGTTCCACTGATGGCTGAAATGGTACCCCAGCCTCTGAGAATCTTATGAAGATTCATTCATCAGCTTTTTCTCTCCCCTCCCAGGAACCCATATGTCGGAAGATGGTAGAGATTGTCCCTCCTGCATTTATGGAGTAGACTACACCACTCATCGGAATGCCCTCCCTTCCTGCCTACTTTGTTCCATTTGTAATTCAGGTAGATGTGGACCCCAAGCCTGAACATGGAACGCAGCAGGATGATAAGAAATTTGTAGCATAAATAAACCAGGAGACCTGGATTCCAGTCCCACTTGGTCTTCATATCCTGTTGTTCCATGATTATATCTTTGGGTCATTAAATACATAAAACAGAAATTATTTTTATGATGCATGCCACCTGGGAGGGAAATCTTTTAAACTACAGGTTGCAAGAGGGCGAGGGGTAACTTAAAGCGTGAGGAAGATGTGGCCCAGGGGGAAAGGGCTGGGTTTCAGCCATGATCAAATTATGGCCCTGGGCGGGCCTCCATCCAGCTCCTGGCTCCTGGAAGTGGCTCCGCCTCTTTCAACCTCACCTCCTCAGGCCCCTTCCTCCTCACCAACAGGGCCAGGCTTTAGGGAAGTCACCCAAGGGCTCCTGTCCTGCCAGGGTCTCTCAGGTTCTATACCTACATGTCCCTTATTATCTACGGACCATGTTATCTAAACAATTTTTTTCCCCTAACCTGATGCAAGAGATAATGAATGTTGATGCCTTTTGTATGACTTTAACTATTGGTGACAGCTGAAGGGTGGCTGTCCTCTGTGTACCCTGAGTGCATTGGTGCAGAAACTGGCCCTCAGAGCTCCTTGGTGACCTGAGCTGAGCTGAGTGGGAAGGGGTCAGGGTGGTGAGGAAGGGGTGAGGGACACAGCAAGGAAACGTATCCCCAAAGACTTTTCCTTTGCTGCAGATGAAGAGGAGAGCAGTCCCTGCACCATGACCGCAAACAGAGAGTGTCAGTGCAAAGCAGGCACCTTCCGGGGAGAAGATTCCCCTGAGTTCTGCCAGAAGTGCCGCACTCGGTGAGACAGGACAGGCAGGCTTGACTACAGAAGACCCATTTCCTTGTAGCCTTTTCTGTCCCCTGAATTCCATGGGGTCTTGACCCTCTTAGGGCATCCCTGACCCTGTGGTGTGTCCTGAGACTAAAGTGGCCCATCTGCCTGTCCCCACCCCAGCCCGCTGCCGCAGCCCCTGCTCACACTTCCCTGGCACGTGTCCCACTGGGCACAGGAGGGCACGACTTAGGGCCTATGATATCCTTAGGGGTCTATGAAATATTTTATTTTGAAATCTTAAGTACAAAGGATCCAGCCTGGGATATATTAATATTTATCCTTAAACCAATTCAGTCCTAAAATGCAATTTTTAATAATTATTTTATCGAAGCAGGGATCATCCAGACAAAAGTCCCAGTGGCCCACAGAGTTCATAATAAGGCCATGGGTGTAGCTCCTTCTAGATTCCCCTGACCTGAGCCAACTGAGCTGTCCTCACCCTGACCGTTGTCCCTCAAGAACTGTCTTGTCCCTATTTGGGGTTTTAGGGGCCAACAGTTATGACTTTTCTCTGATCCCAGTGTTTGCTGTGACGGGGAGGGACGTGCAGACAGGTAGGGACGGGAGCTCAGTGGTATTAGGGTTGGCTGAAGGATGTGGCTCAGCTTGTGGCCACGCGGGCCTCCCCCTGCCCTGGAAGGAAGGTCCTACTAACTCAGGACCCCCAGCCCGCTGCAGCCCAGGGAAGCCCCGAGTGTGCCAAGCTGAGGAGGCTCCTGGAGGCCGCAGCCCTGACCACGGAGCAGGGAGCCTGAGGGGCTGCAGTTCACGTGCTCAGCTTTTTCCCCAGACTCAGCAAGGAAGAGGGGGACCCCAGAGACATGAGAAGCCCGTCTTATCTCTGTCACCTGTTCAAGGACAGTGGATAGCAGAATGGCTCCTCTTTCATCTCATCTGGCCAGCTTTCCCTCACGGAATCCCACATCTCCTCCCTGTGTGTACCCAGGTGCCCTGATGGCATGGTCGAGAATAGAACTTGTACACCCTGGAGTGACCTTGTGTGTGTCCCCAAAGGATCAGGTACTAAGATGTCTGGGGAAGCCCCAAGTCCTAGAGAGTCAGTGACCACCAGCTTGGGCAATTCTACCTCTCCCCTCTCTTCCTCAGACAGTGGGCTCCAGCTAGGAAGGAATGCAGCTATTGGTGTTGGATGTTTGCTGTTATGTCTGGTGCCGATATGTCGTTCTTGCTGGAGGTACATGCTGGCTGAGGGAGGGGCTGCTAGGTACTCTTTGCCCCTCCCCCACCCTGCTTCACGGGCAGAAGCGTCCTCCCTGTCCCCCAAGTCCTTGTCACCCTGTGGTGGTCCCTCTGTCTCCCACCTGATGTGCACCCCCCGTCTCACCCAGGACCAGATGTCATCAGTCCCTCTCCCAGGGCTGGGGAGCCCTCCCCTCCCAAGTCTGGAGGGTGGGGCGGCCCCTCCCCCTTCCATCTTCAGGGCCAGCCAGGGCAGAGAGGGTGTCGGCTCCTCCACTGGGGACCAAGGTCAGGACCAGACATGCCCAGGGGGTTCATACGGCTTTGGTCAGCACGGAACCACACAGAGATTTCACATGTGTTTATTTTTACTGTATTTTCTCCTCCTGCCCCTCCTGAGGGTGCCCCAGAGTTGGAAAGGCCCCATCCCTGTCCCCAGGCCGGGGCTGCTTGTCCAGTGTCTCAGCCGCTAGCCCAGGCCTGCCGGACACTGCCCTCAGGGAGGAGGTGCTGCATGGGCCCCTCCCCCTTGCTAAGGGACCCCTTTTCTCTTCCAGGAAGCTGCAAGGCCTTCAAGATCAAGGTGAGAGCGAGTTGGTTTCTCCAGGACCTGGGGGCACTGGGTGCTCATGAGCTGCTTCCTGCCCACACGGAGCCCTGGGTGGGGCGTCCCCACTGTCCTGCACGCTGTGCTGGCTCTCTGCAGTGGCCGGGGCTCTGGCTGACCGTGAGGGCACATGGCTGCTTTAAGCACCCCACAGGCCAGTGGGCCGTGCTGCAGCCCTGTCCTTCCTGCAGCGTGGGTGACACCCCCACCCCGCAGCTCTGCTCCCCGGGGATGGGTGTGACCAGGGGCGTGGTGCCAGCAGCACATGCTGGATGTGCTCAGCCTCTGCCCACCTGGGGCCACCCCACTGGGAGGGGTGGGGATGGCAGGAGCAGCAGTGCCCGGGCGAGCTGTGGGGGCGCTGAGTGGACTCCTGAGTCTGCTCTTTGCCTCTCCAAGTTCTCCTGCTGCGGGAGGTCCCCAGGAGGGGCTGGGGATGAGGACAATTCCTGCAACGAGATCCTGAGCAACAGAGACTCTTATTCCACCATAGACTCTCAGCAGAAAATGGAAATCGAGGAGCCAGAAGTGCTGGCAGGTGTCACTGTAACATCTCCAGGGCAGTCAGAGCGTCTGCTGGTGAGTGGGGTCAGCCATTCCGTGTCCCAGTCCTGCTTCTGGCTCAGGACTTTGTAGGTACAGGGCGAGGACGGTGCCTCGGCTGTCCTGACCCAGCGTAAAGTGGAGCCTTAGGAACGGAGGGACTGTAGGCAACAGGGAGCATGGGCCAGAGCAGCCGCCTCAACATGGTGACCACCCACTCTGTGGGGCCTTCTTCTAAGTCCCTGTCCTGTTCTGACTGTGTCCCCAGAGCCTGGAGCGGTGCAGGCAGCAAGGGTGCCCAGGGTTTGCCGATGACTGAATAAGGGCGGCCTGATCTCAGCCGTGTGCTCCTAGCAGAACCTAGGGAGCCCTTGCTCCTGACAGCAGAAGCGTTAAATTTCCTCCAAGAGTATTATTAGTACATTGAATGTATTTGAAAGTAAATCCTTTTCCAGATTTCTGATCATGTTTGTAGGGAGGCTTCCAAAAGGAAGTAGAATTTCTGAGTCAATGTGTGGAAGTGCCTTTTTCTTTCTTTTTTGTTTTTGTTTTCTTTTTGAGTCTCTGTCACCCTGGGCTAGGGTGCAGTGGTGTCATCATAGCTCTCTGCAACCTCAAACTCCTGGGCTCAAGTGATCCTCCTGCTTCACCCTACTGAGTAGCTGGGACTATAGACTGTTAGCCACCATGCCTGGCTAATTTTTTTAGAGAAGGGGTTTCACTCTTGCTCAGGCTGGTCTCAAACTCCCAGGCTCAAGCGATCCTCTTGCCCCAGCCTCCCAATGTGTTAGGATTATAGGTGTGACTCCTGTGCCCAGCCTGGAAGTCCTTTTTTATTATACACACATATGCACATGTATCCAATTACTGTTCATACCAATTAATCAGTTTTGATGTGATATTGAGTAGTAGTTAAAGCAGTATATACATTTAAGTTTTCATTTTTCTTAAGCTTAGAAAGTCTTTCCGTCCAACATAAAATGAGATTATCTAGTTTCTTACAGTTTTACTTTTTAACGATTTGATTTTTGGCATGGAGCAATAGAAATGGAATTTGTTTTTTGATCCAATATGAAGTGAGGAATTGTTCTGAGTGTCTGTCTCTTTGTTCCAAGCCCACCAAGCAACTGACTCTTCCATGTCCCTCTGCCTTTGGAACCTCCCTTGCCACATGTCAAATGTGTACGTGGACCATGATCTCTTCCACCCAGGCGGTTTCTTTCTGTTCCTCCCTTGGGTCTATACCGCATTCTTTGTTAAATAAAGAGAAGGTTTTCTATGCAAGTCCATAGAAAAGAAAATATATATGTAGAAGCAGTCCCTGGAGTAGGGACAACCCGACGTACAGTGTTCCTTACTTATGAATTTAATTAAAATAATTAAATTAATAATTCAGGAACTAGTGTCCTCCACGCATGTCAAACCCACATGTGGCATAACCAGCCCGTTGGTGCAGCTCTTTATAGTAGTAGCTGGTCTTATGTACACAGTCATGTACGCATAGCGTCTCTTTCGTCTTAACTTTTCAATTTGATTTTGTGAGTCTTTTTTTACCCCGATGCCCACGGCTCCAAAGCAAAAGCTCACTGCAAGTCCAGGTGAGGCTGCAGGGAAGAGATATGTAATGACAACAGAAATGAAAGTAGAAATAATTAAGTGTTCGGAGCAAGGCCAAGACACCATCATTTATTAGGGAAAGCATTAGGCTTCCATCACTAGACCATCGGGACAATTATAAAGGATAAAGTGAGAATGATGGGACGTGTGAAAGGCAGTGCCCCAGTGAAAGCATCAGTTATTGCTACACAGCATAGTGGATTAATTACTGAAGTGGAAAGGTTATTATTGATTTGGTGAGAAGACTAAAATAAGAGTAACATTCCTATTAGCCTAGGAATTAAAAGAAAGAGCACAACAGTTTCTGTAACTTATTATTAATATTATCATACAGGGGTACTATTAACATTATTATTACCACAGTATTACAGTGCATTATTACTACCATTTTTCCCTGAAAATAAGACAGGGTCTTATATTTCTTTTTCCTCAAGAAGACACCCTAGGGCTTATTTTCAGGGATGTGTTATTTTTTTTTAAGTACGGTACAACCATCTACATTTATTCAAATATAGTTGGGTTGTCGTCTTCTGGAACATCATCATAACTCTCCAAACCCCAAATTCCATCCTGAATTTCTTTTTATTTTTTTATTTTTTTATTTTTTTTTATTTTTTGAACATTTTAAATTACTTCTACCATCCTGAATTTCTTTCGACTCTATTTCCTTTAGAACCATTGGCCCCAATCTCTCATGTCGAGCAATAGAGCTTTCAGTAAATGAGCAGCTCTTATCCATGTAACCTGCTCGGAGTGCGTTGGTAACAACACTGTCAGTGATTTTATCCCATGACTTCTTCACCTAAATCAAGACCTCTTGCAGGCTAGGCTTCACAAAGTTTCCACACTGATTTCTTGTCATTCTATTTTCAATGTAGTCATTAATTTCCATGCGCAAATGGTCTTTGAATGACTTGTTTATTGCAATATCAAGGGTCTGCAGATAGCCAGTCATTCCCGCAGGAATCATTATTTGATCTATTCTTCTCTCTGCAAGGAAGTTCTTCATGTCTTTTGAACAGTGAGTGCTGGCTGAATCCCAGACTAGCAGACATCTTTGGCCACCTTGCAAAACAAGTGGCAGCATTAAATCAAGCCACTTCCTCATAACTGCTTGTGTGCACCAGCCTTTTTCGGTTTCAAGAACATAACGTGTTGGAACAGAACGTGTTGGAAACACGTTCAATCTTATCTTTCTTGCCCTTAGTGATGACAAGAGGTGTGACTTTCTTTCCATCCATACGGATTGCCAAAATACAGGTAATGGGTGAAGTTTCATGAGCAATGGAGGGAATGTAGATTGAGGAGGCACCCCTCTGTTCAATTGTCATTTGGGCTCCTTGACCCATAAACACTGCAGTTTCATCCATAGCAATCATGTTGCAAAGTTGGTATTTAGAAAAGTCGATGCTATCAACAAAGGACTTGAATGCAAGTGCTCGCTTAATAACTTCAGCATCTTCCAAATTAAACAGTGTCGTCGATTTTCTTAGAGACAGTTCATATTGCTGAAGGAAGGCATCCAGCTAGTGTTGTGATGCTTTGAAATCTTCTGGGGATATTTCTAATTATGGTCCCAATGCAAGGGCAAATCTTTGAATATCAGCCCTGCGCACAACCAAAGCCTTTGCTCTCCTGTCAGCAATCCATTCACCAATCATGTCTTCCAGCTCGGGAAATAAAGGTTGCCAACCTGAACCACACTTGTGCTTCTTAGCATTTTCTCTATCCACATGTAGACTGAGGTTATCATATTCTCCCCGCCATTTTTGGACCATTTGGATATCCACCTTCTCTTTGCAGAAAGCTGTAAGATTCTTGCCCTTGCAGACCTCCACAATTTCTTTCTTGTACTCAACAGAATAGCTCTTTCTTTTTGCACTCATCTTGTCTGGGGATACAGATACTCAGGAAAAGCATAGATAGGCCAGCAAAGCTGATGTGTAAGGGCTGGTTTATTTATCAGAGATCCAGTGAGCACTGGGTCCAATCTGCACAGTGGAGCAGAAATGATATCTCTGGGCTCAGTAGGAGACTGCTTGCTAGCTTTTCCCCTAACCCCTGGTGTTTGTGGGGGGTGAGAGAGGCCCACAGTGCTGAGTAAGATGGCAGCCACAGCTTTCCTTCTTCCCCCTGGGGACACACAATACCTAAAGCAGAGCGTCCCACTCCTCACTTCACTGAGGAGACTTTGCCCTCAAAGCCTCAGCTTGCAGCACGCACAGGATGGCCGGGACCTGACAGGGGGAGCCGAACTTGTTGGTGGGGCTGCTTGCACCTTTCTGGTCACCTCTGGGATAGTAGCTGTCACAATGGGACAAATAAGAAGGGCTGCTTGCCTTCTTTATCGCTCCGAAACAAAATGCATGGGTTGTGCAGATGCTCTGCGTAGCCACGCCCAGCACTAGGGCTTATTTTCGGGGTGGGGCTTCTATTGCGCAAATGCTTAGAAATCCTGCTAGGGCTTATTTTATGGATAGGTCTTATTTTCGGGGAAACACGGTACCACAAATGAGCCATTATAGTAATGTTATTAGTATTATTACTGAGTATGTGCTGGTATTCAAGGATCTGAGTTACAGACAATTCCAACCTAGAGACATTCTCAGGAACAAATCCATAACCCAAGGACTGCTTGTATATAAAAAAGACAATATAAACAAGGAAACAAACAAAAAATGCAACTAATTCTCCCCTGATGATTAATTACTTAGAACATCTTTTTAAAGTGGTTACAGCATAACCACACTTCCTCTATAGGACAGAAAGTTACTTGTCATAGCGAGAGCCCCCTGAACTCTTCCTGTAGCCCCCGACCTTTTTTTTTATTTCAGCATATTATGGAGGTATAAATGTTAAGGTTACATGCATTGCCCATGCCCCCTCCCCCCTCGAGTCAGAGCTTCAAGTGTGACCATCCCCCAGATGTTGCACATCTCACTCATTGTGTTTGTATATACCCATCCCCTCCTCTGCCCCCAACCTTTTTTATTTCAGCTAACTCCAATAGACAATTTCCTTTGATTCTTGGGTAAACTTTTTATGCAAATACCATCTATATACATACATGCAGATGTATATCCATGTGCTTTCTTGACATGAAAAGGATATATCACAAATGAAACTTTCTAGTATGGTTTAATATCTAAGAGAGCAAAGATCCCTTTCTTACTGTTTCAGAATTAATTACTTTTGTGCAGATAAAATTTAGAATTATTTTATAAGGTTTTCTCCAACACCTCCAATAAAAAAAAATCACTGGACTTTTGAAATATTACCTTAATAAATTAATCTAAGAAGGATTGAGAGCTTTTCAATATTCAATAGTTCTCTTATTAAAGAAGATAGTATTTGAAGTCAAGTGCTGTATTATGACTTAGTCAAGATTTTTGATTTTCTTTTTCAGATAAACATTCCTAGTCCCTGTCAAAGTTTCTTTGTATTTTGGGTCTTTTTGTGATTCCATTTTCTAATTTATTGTGTCTACTATGTGTTTCAATGTTCATCTAGATGTAGTGATTTTTAAGTATTGCTGTTTAAACCTTGGGGCTTTTTAAAATATGCAGTCCTATCTAACATAAGGATTATTGTGTTGGGCTCTTCTAAGAGTCTTGCTGTCTTGATTTTCTTTCCTGTCTTGATGCCAGAACTTTCAGAACGATGCTTGCCCTGAAAGTGACATGCTGCAGGTGGCACAGCCAGCTGGCTGTCAGGCCGCGCTGGATCCCAGGATTCCTGACTCCGACCCAGGGTGTCCCCACAGCCTGTTCCCGGGACAGGCAGGAGCTGAAGGTTCTCACAGGCAGAGGCTGCTGGTTCCAGCAGACAGCGCCGACCCCACTGACGGTAAGTGTTCTGTTCCTGGTGATGCAGCAGGAGGACGGGGAAAAGGGACAGTGTCCCAACTGCCGTCCCCACAGCTGATAGGGCTCTTGCAGAGCATTCAAGGCTGGAAGCAGGGGAGCCTTTGCTATTGTCACTGGAAGCAGGGGAGCCTTTGCTATCGTCACTGGACCCTAAATGCCCCCTCCCACATCTTCTACCCCACCATCTCTGCATCCTAACGAGGACCCTAACCACTCTGTCCTCGCCCTCCGCCACCTCCTCCCTCCTCCCTTGTTCAAGGGCTGCCCTGCACAGCACCCACTGGCCCCAGGAGGTGACTAAGCACTCGACATGTGTCCAGGCCCAGTTTGCTGAGCTGCAGTGGTGTAAATTGCAGACAGGATTTCAAAGATTTGATGGAAAAAAAAATAAAAAGAAAGAAAGGAAAATATCTCAGTGATCATTTTTATACATTAATTGCATATCAAAATTATATTTTATATATACTGAGTTAGTACCTTACATTAAAATAATATCACTTATTTCCTTTCATTTCCTTTAAATGAGACTGTTAGGAATATGATGCTGTGTTTTCTGGCTGCCTTCTGTCCCTAAGGTCAGCAGTGTGCAGCACCTCTGCACACACAGGCTTGGCCTGGGTGGTGTTGCTCCATGTTAAAGTTGACTTTTTGCTAGACTCTGTCGTCTCACTTGGCCCTGGGAATGAGCCAGAGCTGGGTGTGAACTAGACACCCTCCCAGCCCAGGCCCTGGGCTTTCTGCAGGTGCAGGCGTGGCCACCCTGGGACTTGCCCCCTGTGACAAGTGCAGCCAAGTAGCTTCCCTAGTCTGAGTCACTGCTGCACCCACTGTCTGCCCCACCCTCCAGCTCATACCCCACGTTGCTTTCTGCCTCCACAGTGTTTCTCCATCCTCCCCAGGGGGCTGCAGCCCTTCCCGAGTACTGGATTCTCTGGTGACCTTGACGCCCCCATAGTACCTTGGGTGCAGGTTGGGTCCACACAGTGTGCACTGGGTCTCTGTGGATGGGGAGCAGGTCGGGACACTGGAGCAGTAGGTCACCCCGCAGGGGAGCTCTCTAGGTTCTAGGGTTCTAGGCCTGATGCAGTATCCTCTGCATCCCCTGGACCGAGTGCCCACTCACCTATCTCTGTGGCTTTTCTCCACCTAGCTCTGAGGCTGTTCTTTCACTACTTCCCACATGTCTTCCCTTTAACTCCTAGAACCTGCTGATGAGGCTCATGGGACTGACGGACAATGGCATCCATGTGGGCAGAGGCTGTGCAGTGGGCCTGGAGGATGCCTTGTATGAAATGCTGGTGTGATGTGTCAGCATGATGGGGCGGAAGGCCTTGGTGCAGCCTGCTGGAGGCCATGGACAGTCTGAGCAAAGTTACGAAAAGGAGACCATCGAGGACCACCTGGCGGGTTCCAGGACATTGATCTATCTAGATGGTGGGGAAGGCTCTGCTGTGGCCTAATTATTAACAATGTAGTTGCTTATATGTCTGTTTTATGTGTCTTTTTAATTTTGTTTTTATAGATCATTTTTGGTTTGATATTTATACTGTATTTAAGTAAGTTACATTTAATATTTAACCTTTTCATAACTTAAAAATCTTAAAGTTATATTAAATTAAATAATAGATATTTGTCTCAGTCTACTTTTGTTGCTGTAACTGAATACCTGCGACTGGGTAATCTATAAAGAAAAGAAATGTATTTGTTACTGTTCTGGAGACTAGAAAGTCCAAGGCCTCAACCATCCATCCTGTGAGGGTCTTCTTGCTGATGGGGACTGTCTGTAGCGTCCTGAGGTGGCACAGGGGGTCCTCTGGTGGAAAGGGCACACTGAGAGCCAAACTGGCTGTCCTAGCAAACTTACTCTTGTGATGAGGAATCCACTCCCACGGTGACCCATTCATCCACGAGTGGTTCCTCGCTCTTGCAGGATGTAATCCCATTGTCTATTTTTTGCTTTTGTTCCCTCTAGGGTATTTGGGGGGAGTTATATCTAAAAAATGCTTGCCTTTCCTGGGCCAGGTCTGCCATGAAGAACAGAGCCAGGGAGAGGGGCCCCACATGACATAGCCTCCCACTAGTGAGAACCAGCTCTCCCTTCTGAGTCTCTCCCCAACCTCCCATGGCAGGCTTTTCTCAGCCCAAACCAGCAGGAAGAAAATCTGTGCAACTGTTAACAAGAGTTTCAGAGAATTACAAGGAAAAACAGGAAAACTTATTCAAGGTATTTTGTGAAATAAAAAAAACTAAGAATTTGAAGTATAAATTCCATGAATGCGAATCCATTCTTTTTCGTGTCTTCTAGGCATTTGTAGTATATACTGAGAGAACATTCTGGAAGAACTTAAATGATCAGGGTCAGGTTAAACTATGGGATATTCTTGTTGTACATTTCAGAGCTCAGGGTTTTAGAATATGTTTATAAAAACATATGCACTTCGTCTACAGAAGAAGACTGTAGGCTTAGAACAAATATACTGAACTTGAACCCGGGCCTGGAGGTTCTTCAGAGCTTGCTTGCCAGGGTTAAAGGGGCGTCCCTGCCCAGGGTAGGTGACTAGACAATTCACTGCATACAGCGTGCCCTGGGCACTGACTCTGTCCCAGGCCAGGCTGCAGGTGCTCTGCGAAACATTCCCCATGTCAGGCCAGGCATGAGGATTCACACCTGTACTCCCAGCCCTCTGGCAGGCCAAGGCAGGAGGATCCCTTGAGCTCAAGAGTTCGAAGCCAGCTTGAGCAAGGGCAAGACTCCGTCTCTACTAAAAATAGAAAAAATGAGCTAGGCTTGGCAGCACACAGCTATAGTCCCAGCTACTTGTGAAACCGAGGCAGGAGAAACGCATGTGCCCAGGAGTTTGAGGCTGCAGTGAGCTAGGCTGATGCCATTGCACTGTACCCAGGGCCACGGCATCCTAGGGTGACACAAACCATGTGTGCAAGCCCTGGCAGTTCTGCTTTAACACTAGAGGATATCTCCTCAAAGATCACATTCTCACATCTCCTGCCCAGCAGCATTCAGCAACCCACCCTCACATGCAGTCCTCCTCTGGGGTTCCAACCTTTTGAGGTGCTACAGGCAAAAACTCAGCAAGATCAACCAGTTCAAGCCTTGCGGAGAAGGGTAGGAGTTGCCAAAGGTGAGACAATTGGTTCATGCAGGGCAGAGCCTAGATATGGATTCCGCCACAGGCAGGAAGTCCAAACCAGAAAAGAGAGGGAAGTACGGTCTGGGAGCACCTCCACCACCGGTGGGGAACTGACCGAAATGGGGGACCAGTGAGCTGGGGCAGGGAGTGGGGGCAAGGGGGAGATGATGCCCAGGGATTCCATCCTGCGCTGTGCTCAGCTCTGGAAGCCGCTCCCAAGCCTCCTTCCCTTCACTGGGCCTCAATACCAGCACCCACGAGGTCAGTCCCCCTCACCTGTGCCAGGCCTGCAAAACTGCTGGGGTGCGGGTGAGGTGACCACCAAAGGCACCCCAGGATCCCTTCTTTCCTACCCACTCTACAGCCCCTAATTCACCCTGTGACCACCATGAAGGCAGGAACTTGACTCCAGTGGCCGTTGGGATGCTGGGTCCCTGCACCCTGTGCCTGGCACGGTGCTGGGTGGGGAGGGGCGTGGAGAGGCCTGACCCACATGGGTTCCTCACCGAGGGCCATTCAGTTTCCTGTGCCAAGTAGGCTCACACTGTCTTGCCTCCCAAGGGCTTTCAAGAATCCAACAGGGAAGAAAAATCCAGAAGAAAGGTTGGATTGGGTTCCTTTGCCTTGCCTGACACCAGGTGCAATGGAGGGGAAATGACATTTAACGGACATCTAACCTGGAGAAGAAAACGTGAGCTGCTGGGGCTGAGCCCCTGCCAGAATGCTTCCCTGCAAAGCAACATGAAGCAGGGACTTGGTGGTACCGTTGATGAGGCCTGGGAGGCGGTGAGGAGGAGAAGCTGAGATTTGACTCAGAAGTCCTGTGTCATCACACAAAAAAACAACAGAAAAACAAAACCAAGAAAAGGGTGCCACAGGTGACTCATGCCTGTAATCCTAGCACTCTAGAGGCCAAGGCAGGAGGGTGGTTTGAGCTCAGGCGGTCCAGACCACCCTGACTGAGCAAGAGAGAGACCCTGCCTATACTAAAAATAGAAACAAATTAGCCCGACAACTAAAAATATATAGAAAAACTTAGCCGGGCATGGTGGCGCATGCCTGTAGTCCCAGCTACTTCAAGGCTGAGGCAGGAGGATCGCTTGAGCCCAGGAGTTTGAGGTTGCTGTGAGCTAGGCTGACGCCACGGCACTCTAGCCCAACCAACAGAGTGAGAGGCTGTCTCAAAAAAAAAAAAAAAATGTACTGAATCAGGAGGGGAAGCAGTTCCCGGTTGAAGAACAGGAGGGACAGGCACCGTGGGAACATGGTGGGATCTGGCAGCTCCTGGAATCCCGACTCTGAACTACCGCCTTGTCACAGCGCAGGACGGAATCTCGGGGGCGTCACCTCCCCTCGCCACCCCCGCCCCGCCCCAGCTCACTCATCCCCCATTTCGGTCAGTTCCCGCCAGTGGCGGAATCCATATCCAGGCTCCGCCCCGCATCCCGTCGCCAGGAGAGAAATCAGGTGGCGACTCCGCTTAGGCCACCTCCGGAAGTTTGGATCCGCTTGGGAGTTTGATTCCGCAGCGCGCGACAGGAGCGCTCCCTCCCGCCATGGGACTGTCGCGGCAGGGCATGTCCCAGGACCCGGGTCACTGCTCCGGAACCTCCAGACCCTTATGTTCCTTGTAGTCAGTGTCCTGTCGTTGAGTCCCCACCGCGGTCCGTTGCTGGAGCAGAGCACGCCGCGTGCTAGAAGGGGGGGAGGGGATTAGGGCACAAAGAGGGGTGCCTGGCCGGGCACCTGTGGCTGGGCAAGTCCGGGCGGGACGAACCGGTCGGCGGAGTTGGGGAAAGAGCGGGGTCCCCGCGCAGAGCCGCGGAGGAGAAACGCTCTGCGGGCAGGACGTGCACCGAATTCCAGGACCGAGGGTCCCGTGGGAACTGCCAAGCGCGTCACCAGGACCCGGGCCTGGCCGTGTGCCCAGTCTTTCCATTTTCCTCCTCCTGCCACTTCGCCTCTCCGTCCGTCTGTCCCTTTCTTCCTCCCTCCGTCCCCCCTGTGCATTTTACTTTCTTGGATATTGAATTTAGTTGTGGTTTCGTTCGCCCCGCCACTGCTCATCCACCACCTCCCACGCTCGACCTCCCCCCATGTTTAGAGGCCGGGCGCGGTGGCTCACACCTGTAATCCTAGCACTCTGGGAGGCCCAGGTGGGTGGATCACTCGAGGTCAGGATTTGGAGACCTGCCTCAGCAAGAGGGAGACTCTCTACTAAAATTAGAAAGAAATTAGCCAGACAACTAAAAATATATATATAGAAAAAATTATCCAGGCATGGTGGCGCATGCCTGTAGTCCCAGCTCCTCGGGAGGCTGAGGCAGGAGGATCACCTGAGCCCAGGAGTCTGAGGTTGCTGTGAGCTAGGCTGACGCCGCGGCACTCTACCCCGGGCAACAGAGACTCTATCTCAAAAAATAAATAAATTAAAAGTCCTGAGTCGGGAGGGGAAGCCGTTAGTGGTTGAAGAACAGGAGGGACAGGCGCGGTGAGAACATGGTGGGATCCCGAAACTCCTGCAATCCTGACTCTGCACAACAGCCCTGTTCACAGCGCAGGACGCAATCCCGGGGGCGTCTTCCCCCCCTGCCCCCACTCCCGCCCCAGCTCCCTCGTCCCCCATTTCCGTCCGTGCTGGTCCCGGCGGGGACAGGACCCAGAAACCAACCACGCGCCCAGCGGCGCAGCCCCGTCAGCGCCTGTGCTTCCCCTCCCCGCGGGTGGCCGGGGTGCTCCCAGACCGCGTTTCTCCGTTTTCGGTTTTGGACTTCTACGTGCGGCGGATTGTGCACCCTGGCTCCGCCCCTTTGTGACGCAATCCGGGGTGTGTCCGAGAGCGGCGCTGCCGGCGGAGAAATCTGCCTCGGACTGTGTTTGGACCCGCGTTGGAGTTTGAGTCCGCTGCACATGCGACAGGAGCGCTCCCTCTCGCCATGGGACTGGCACCGGCAGGGCGCGTCCCAGGACCCGGCTCGCTGCTCCGGAGCCTCAAGTCCTCTATGTTCGTCGTCCTCGTGGTCCTCGGTGTCCCGTCGGTGAGTCGGCGCCGCGGTCCGTTGCTCGAGCAGAGCGCGCCTGGTCTAGAAGGGGACAGGGCATTAGGGCATAAAGAGCGGTGCCTGGCCGGGCACCTGTCGCTGGGCAAGTTCGGGGGGACGAACCTGTGGGCGGAGTCCCGGGAAGAGCGGGGACCCCGTGCGGGGCGGCCGGTGAGAAGCGCGCTCTGGGGGGACTTGCATCGAATTCCAGGACCGAGGGTCCCGGGGGCCCAGTGGGAACTGCCCAGCGGGTCACCAGGACCTGCGGCCTGGCCTTGTGCCCCTTTGCCACTTGGTCCTTGTGTCCGTTTCTTCCTCCCTCCGTCTCCCCTGTGCATTTTACTTTCTTGGATATTGAATTTAGTTGTGGTTTTTTCCCCACTCCCCACTGCCACCCTTTCCCCGCCCCTCCCCCAGCTGCCCCTTCTAGCAGCCACGCCTCCTCCGCCCTCTGCCGCCTTCTCTCCACCCGCCCCTCCCACCCGGTCCTCCCTACCTTGCTGGGGTTCAGGACAGTGACGTCATCCTAGCTCATTGCATCCTCACTGTCCTGGGCTCAAGGGATCCTCCAGTATAGCCGGGACTATAGACAAGGGCCACCAAGCCCAGCCAATTTTTCTCCTTTTAGTAGAGAGGGGCGTTTGCCTTCTGGTCAGGCTGGTCTTGAACTCCTGCCCTGGAACAATCTTCCTGCCTGGGTCTCCCAGAGTGCTAGGATTCCAGGCAGGAGCCACCGTGCCTCACCCTAGTTGTGCTCTTTTAAAGTGTATTGTGCACTGGGATCAGTTTGATCATCTCATACTTTTAACTTCATCTTATCCTCATTGCCTTATTCAAGGCCTAATTTAGTAATACACTAAGGGTACAGTGGTTCCCTTCTGATGGCAACTGGGCAGCACCCCTGTCATCAGGTGTGTCCACCACAGGAAAGGGAACTTGAGCACTTCCCAGCCCTGGGTAGGCCTCAAGGCTGACCCATCCCCTAATGTCTGACATCTCCCCTCCCCGGTGGCTCCTCTCAGGCACACAGGGGTCTCAGCAGACACTGTGTGAGCCCTCTGCAGGGCTCCTGAGTCCTCTGTGCCACTGCTTCTCCAGGGCTCTGTCCTGCACTCGCCCCTGGGAGCTCCTGCCTGTGGTCCCCTCCCTGTGCTGCAGCCTGGAGCCTGTCCTCAGGCCATGAGCTGAGGCCACCACCATCTCACCTCATGTGTCCTGGGGGACAGTTGTTCACCCATGAAGTTGACAATGAGCCCTTGGCTCTGGGAGAGTCTGTGCCTGGGGTGGGGGGAGGACAAATAAGCCCTGTGGGAATTCTGCTTCCTGGGAGCCCACAGCTGGTGGAGGAGGTGACACCAGGGACCTAAATGAAATCAGGAGGTAGGAGATCCCACCACCCTGCCTCCCCCTCCTCCAGAGAGGCTGTGACAACTCCAGTGACATCCTGCCTCCAATTTGACTCTGGGAGAGGGGAGCCTGTGTGCTTGGGAGGAGCCAGGTTATGTTATTGTTGGGCAGGAGGATGTGGGGACATTCAGATCACTTGTGAGGATAGTGATTGTACTGGTCAGAACATGTGCTCACTGCAGCTCTTGCCCAGTGCCAAGCTCTGTGCTCAGCACTTTCTACATACTAGCACATGTGATTCTCATAACAGGCAGACTGTGCAGGGCCCCTCCCTGGCCTTGTTTTAGATGAGCAATAAGAGATGCAGAGAATTCACTCAGTGGAAGGGCTGGGCGGGGGTGAGGGAGCCTGGGGACTGGCTCACGGGGTTCTGCTGACATTTCCCCATGAGTATTCAGTGCTCCTCTGTGAGGCCCTCACTCAGCTAGAGCAAGATCACAGCTGGGGGTGTCTCTGAGAGGTTATTTGATGCTACTTCTTATTTCAAGATGTCAAACACATTTAGAGACAGGGTGCAGTGGCTCATGCCTGTGATCCTAGCACTCTGGGAGGCCAAGGCAGAAGCATCTCTGGAGGTCAGGAGTTCCAAACCAGCCTGAGCAAGAGCGAGACCCTTTCTCTACTAAAAATAGAAACAAGCTGATTTCAGACCTCAGGAAGACGTTGAGAACAAGTCTTTTAAAACTGAGATCACACCTGCTCAGTTGAAGATCAATAAGACAGTTTTTAGCGTTTGTGTGCCTTGGAGATTGTGGTTTGAGTATCAAACGTGGCTCTGAAACAGTCTTACACTTGCCGCACTTGTGGGGGAAGCAAGGCAAGGGGATCCCCTAGTTCTATGGTCCCCAACCCTGGGCCGTGGACTGGTACCAGTGTTAGGAGCCGGGCTGCATAGCAGGAGGCGAGCTGGCTGCAGGTGAGTGAGGGAAGCCTCATCTGTATTTACAGCCACTCCCCATGGCTCGCATCACCGCCTGAGCTCCTCCTGTCAGATCCACATCCCACCGCACTGCCCCCTTCCATGGCAAAGTTGTCTTCCATGAAACCAGTCCCTGGTGCCCAAAGTGTTGGGGACCACTGCCTAGTTAATGACTCACTGGGGAGGGGGCAGGGTTTGCAGAGTCTGAGTGGACAAGACCTGGAACAAGCGCTACTCTCTGTCTCTGTGTCTCTCTGTCTACCTCCTACATTCATGAGCCCAGGTCTAGGGACCGACATGACCTCACCTCTCAGGCTGCAGCCTCAGTCTCCCTTGATCAGAGACGCCCACAGACTACAGAGCATCATCCAGCCTCACTTGCCTTTACTCCTCTGTCCCATGACTCTGACTTCACAGCTCCCTGGGGTCCCCTCTGTGTGGACTTTTCCCTCTATGTCCACCAGTCTCCCTGCCACCGATGGCATTTTTCACCTCCTGGGCAGCCAGGCTCTTTGCACCTTCATCGGCTTTGAGCTTATTTTTGCCTGTGCTTGAGCTCCCTATGAACGGGAACTGTCCTACAGAAAGGAAGGGCCATGCCCTGTCCCTGACCCTCCTCGATTCCTGGCGCAGTGTGGTCACCAGTGGCCGGATATGCTCTTCCTGGGTGAATGAATAACTTGGATTCTAGGATGTGCACGCTAGCGCTGATATCCCGTCCCCATCCTGGTCACAGAGAGTGTTTCATGTGAGAGGGGCAAGCACAGAGGTGTCTAAAGACAATGCTGAGGAACTGCCCCATCCAGAGTCACCAGGAGCCAGGTGTCAAGTTTGAGCCTCAAGCTCTATGTTCCGTCGTCCTCCGTGGTCCTCGGTGTCCCGTCGGTGAGTCAGCGCCGCGGTCCGTTGCTCCGAGCAGAGCGCCGCTGTGTCTAGAACGGGACAGGGATTAGGGCATAAAGAGCGGTGCTGGCCGGGCACCTGTCGCTGGGCAAGGTTCGGGGGACGAACCTGTGGCGGAGTCCCGGAAGAGCAGGGACCCGCGCGGGCGGCCGGTGAGAAGCGCGCTCTGGGGGGACCTTGCACCGAATTCAGGACCAAGGGTCCCGGGCCAGTGGAACTGCCCAGCGGTCACCAGACCGATGCGGCCTGCCTTGTGCCCTTTGCCACTTGGTCCTTGTGTCCGTTCTTCCTCCTCGTCTCCCTGTGCATTATTCTTTGATATTGAATTTAGTTGTGTTTTTCCCCAACTCCCCGTCACCTTTCCCCGCCCCTCCCCAGCTGCCCTTCTGCAGCACGCCTCCTCCGCCTCTGCCGCCTTCTCTCCACCCGCCCTCCCACCCTCCCCCTACCTGCTGGGTTCAGGACAGTGACGTCATCTAGCTCATTGCATCCTCACTGTCCGGGCTCAAGGGATCCTCCAGTATAGCCGGGACTATACAAGGGCCACCCAGCCAAGCAATTTTTCTCCTTTTAGTAGAGAGGCGTTTGCCTTCTGGTCAGGCTGTCTTGAACTCCTGCCCTGGAACAATCTTCCTGCCTGGGTCTCCAGAGTGCTAGGATTCCAGGCAGGAGCCCCATGCCTGACCTTAGTTGTGCTCTTTTAAAGTGTATTGTGCACTGGATCAGTTTGAACTCTCATACTTTTAACTTTGTCATCCTCCATTGCCTTATTAAACCTAATTAGTAATACACTAAGGGTACAGGTTCCCTTCTGATGACCTGGGGCACAACCCTGTCATCAGGTGTGTCCGCCACGGGAAAGGGACTGAGCACTCCCAGCTCTGGGTGGGCATGATGCTGACCCATCTCTAATGTCTGACGTTCCCTCGCTGGTGGCTACTGTCAGCACACAGGTCTCAGAGACACGGGTGAGCCTTACCTCAGGCAGACACTGGGTGAGCCCTCTACAGGCCCCTGAGTCCTCTGTGCTGCTGCTTCTCCAGGCCTCTGCCCTGCACTCGCCCCTGGAGCTCCTGTCTGTGGTCCTCCCTGTGCTGCAGCCTGGAGCCTGTCCAGCCGTGAGCTAGGCTACCACATCTCCACGCTCATGGTCTGGGGACAGTTGTTCACCCATGAAGTTGACAATGAGCCCTTGGCTCTGGAGTCGTGCCTGGTGGTGGGGAGACAAATAAGCCCTGTGGGAATTCTGCTTCCTGAGCCCACAGCTGGTGAGGGAGGTGACACCAGGGACCTAAATGAAATCAGGAGGTGGAGATCCCACCACCCTGCCTCCCCCTCTTCCAGAGAGGGCTTGGACGACTCCAGTGACATCCTGCTCCATTTGACTCGGGAGAGGGGAGCCTGTGTGCTTGGAGGAGCCAGGTATGTTACTGTTGGGCCAGGAGGATGTGGGACATTCAAGATCACTTGTGAGGATAGTGATTGTACTGGTCAGAACATGTGCTCACTGCAGCACTTGCCAGATGCCAAGCTCTGTGCTCAGCACTCTATAACTGCACATGTGATCTCTCATAACAGGCAGACTTGCAGGGCCCCTCCCTGGCCTGTTTTAATGAGCAATAAGAATGCAGAGAATTCACTCAGTGGAAGGCTGGGCGGGGTGGAGGAGCCTGGGATGTGCTCACGGGGGTTTGCTGACATTTCCATGAGTATTCGTGCTCCTCTGTGAGGCCCTCACTCAGCTAGAGCAGCACAGCTGGGGTGTCTCTGAGAGGTTATTTGATGCTATTCTTATTTCAAGATGTAAACACATTAGAGACAGGGTGCAGTGGCTCATGCCGTGATTCCTAGCACTCTGGGAGGCCAAGCAGAAGCATCTCTGGAGGTCAGGAGTTCAAACCAGCCTGAGCAAGAGCGAGACCCTTTTCTATACTAAAAATAGAAACAGCTGATTTCAGACCTCAGGAAGACGTTGAGAACAAGTCTTTTAAACTGAGATCACACCTGCTCAGTTGAAGATCAATAAGACAGTTTTATGCGTTTGTGTGCCTTGAGATTGCGGTTTGAGTATCAAACGTGGCTCTGAAACAGTCCAACACTTGCAGCACTGTGGGAAGCAAGGCAAGGGGATCCCCTAGTTCTGTGTCCCAACCTGGGCCGTGGACTGGTAACCAGGTTAGGAGCCGGCTGCATAGCAGGAGGTGAGCTGGCTGCAGGTGAGTGAGGGAAGCCTCATCTGTATTATAGCCACTCCCCATGCTCGCATCACCGCCTGAGCTCCTCCTTGTCAGATCCACATCCACCGCACTGCCCCCTTCCATGGCAAAGTTGTCTTCCATGAAACAGTCCCTGGTACCCAAAGTGTTGGGACACTGCCTAGTTAATGACTCACTGGGGAGGAGGCAGGGTTGGCAGAGTCTGAGCGGACAAGACCTGGAACAAGCACTGCTCTCTGTCTCTGTGTCTCTCTGTCTACCTCCTACATTCATGAGCCAGGTCTGGGACGACGATGACCTCAACTCTCTGGCTGTTTCAGCTCAGTCTCCCTTGATCAGAGACGCCCACAGACTACAGAGCCTCATCCAGCCTCACTTGCCTTTACCCTCTCCGACTTCACAGCTCCTGGAGTCCCTCTGTGTGGACTTTTCCCTTATGTCCACCAGTCTCCCTGCCACCGATGGCATTTGTGCCTCATCTCGGCAGCCAGGCTCTTTGCACCTTCATCGGCTTTGAACTTTTTTTGCCTGTGCCTGACTCCCTGTGAACGGGAACTGTCCTACAGAAAGGAAGGGCCATGCCCTGTCCCTGCCCATCCTCGATTCCTGCGCAGTGTGTCACCAGAGCCGGATATGCTCTTCCTGGGTGAATGAATAACTGGATTCTAGGATTGCACGCTATGCGCTGATATCCCGTCCCATCCTGGTCACAGAGAGTGTTCATGTGAGAGGGCAAGCACAGAGTGTCTAAAGACAATGCTGAGGAACTGCCCCATCCAGAGTCACCAGGAGCCAGTGTTCAAGTTTCACTAGATGTTACCAGAGAGGTTTTTAAAGGCACATTTAGAGCAGGTGTCTTCAAACTTTTTTAAGTTTGGCCCAGACTCTGGGAGCTGAAGCGGGCGGATCGCTCAAGTCAGGAGTTCAAAACCAGCCTGAGCAGAGCGAGACTCCGTCTCTACTAAAAATAGAAAGAAATTAATGGCCAACCAAATATATAAAAAAAATTACCGGCCATGGTGGCACATGCTTGTAGTCCCAGATACTCGGGAGGCTGAGGCAGAAGGATTGCTTAATCCCAGGAGTCTGAGGTTGCTGTGAGCTAGGCTGACCCATGGCACTCTAGCCAGGCAACAAAGTGAGACTCTGTCTCAAAAATAAAATAAAATAAGATAAACAGAGGGCCAGTTCACTGTCCTCAGGCAGTTGGAGAGTGCACACTGTGGGCCCAGGACAAGTCGGCGGCAAAAACACTGGCGGGCTGGATAAATGTCCTTGGCGGCCACATGGTGGCCGGGCCAGAGTTAGGACCCCTGATTTAGAGTGTTAAAAGTACAACTCATCAGAAGTTATGATAATCCTAAATGTATATTTCCTAATAATAGAAGTTTATATTACATGAGGCAAAGATCAAAATGTTCAAAACTGGATCATTTCACCCTTTTCTCAGCAGTTGACAGAACAATCAGATGACAACATGGTAAAGGAATGACAGCTGAACACTCTCAACCCTCCTGACCCAGCTGACATTTAGAGCACACAGGCAACATCTAGTGAAGACCCATTTTCTTCCAGTGAGGGTGGCACTTTCACCAACATAGACCACAGTGTGGTCTAGAAAACAAATCTGAATGCACCCAAAAGGAATGAATCATATAGATTATGTTCTCTGATGTCAATGAAATTAAATTGTTAATCAAAAACAATATCTAGAAAGACCCCAAAATTTGGATACTAAGAACATCATTATATGTATAATTCATGGTTCATAGATGAAATCAAAAGGAAATTCAAAAATATTTCAAAATAAATGTTCATTATCTAACACATGGACATATGTGGGAAGCTGCTAAACCAGTCCTTAGAGTGAGATTCCAACTTTTAATGCTTCTATTAAAAGAATAGTGGTTTGGGGGAAAATGGTTAAGACTATTAGTGGGTATGGAGTTTCTTTTTGGGGTGATGATGAACATGTCCCAAAATTGATTTTAATGTTGGTTGTACACCTCTATGAACATATTAGTAACCACTGAGTTGTTCACTTTAAAGTAGTGAATTTTATGATATGTGAATTACATCTCAGTAGCCTTCTTGAGGAAAAAAAGAAAAAGGTATAAAAATGTGTGACCTGAAGGTCCACATTAATCAACCATAAAATAAGTGTGAAATAAACTCAGAGGAAATAACAGGGAAAAATGAGTAGAAATCTATAAAATAAAATACAAACAATGAAAGGAATCAACAAACCAGGAGTTGGTTTTCAGAAATGGTCAACAAAATTAAGAAAATGCAATTAAATCAAATTTCAAAAGAAAAAAAAATAAGAACACATAATGCCAATATTAGGAATTAATGATGAGATATTATTACAACTTCTACAGCCATTAAAAGGATAATTGTGGGATCTTATGAAGCTTTATGGCAATAAATTTGAGAGCTTGGATAAAATGGACAGATTTTTTTTTTTTTTGAGACAGAGTCTCACTCTGTTGCCTGGGCTAGAGTGCCAGGACATCAGCCTAGCTCACAGCAACCTCAAACTCCTGGGCTCAAGCAATCCTCCTGCCTCAGCCTCCTGAGTAGCTGGGACTACAGGCATGCGCCACCATGCCCAGCTAATTTTATATATATATATTTCCAGTTGTCCATATAATTTATTTCTATTTTTAGTAGAAACGGAGTCTCGCTCTTGCTCAGGCTGGTCTGGAACTCCTAAGCTCAAACGATCCACCTGCCTTGGCCTCACAGAGTGCTAGGATTACAGTCATGAGCCATCACGCCTGGCTCAAATTTCTTCAAATATACCATTATGCTTAGCAAAATAGCCGCAAGATGTCCAGATAATTTGAATTACTCTATAGGTATTTATGAATTTGAAATTCATTTAAAAGCTTACAAGAATGAAGGCCCTTATCATTTGGCTGATGAATTTTATAAGTATTTATAGAGGAAATAACACCAATCCTAAACAAATTGTTTCAAAAGGAGTGAACACTACTCTACTGTTTTATAAGGCCAGCATGACCCTGATACGAAAATCTGATGGACATTACAAAAAAAGAAAAATACTGGTCAATGTTCGTTATGAATATAAATGTAAAATCCTTAAACAATAGCCAGTTGAATTTAGCAGGAAGATAATATCCTATGAGCAAGTGGGGTCTATTTCAAGAATAGAGTTGGATTAATATCTGAAAATTAATCATTGTTATTCATGATATTAACAGGATGAAGGAAAAACTATATGAATATGTTAATTGAAGCAGAAAGAGCATTTGACAAAATTTGACACCCATTCATGATAAAAATTCTCATTATATTAGAAACGGCAGAGAACTTCCTCAATCTGATAAAATGCTCTAGCATTTTATCTGGAGGTATAAAACGCTCCAGCTAACATCCGTTAAAATATTGGGCAGGCATGGTGGCTCACACCTATAATCCTAGCAGTGGGATTTTGTAATCCTACAGGTTAGGGGATTGCACTTAACCTGTAGCCAAAGAAAAGGTAAGTGTTAATGAGGATGTGGAGAAATTGGGACCCTTATACCCAGTCAGTGGATATATAAAATAGTGTAGACACTATGGAACACAGTATGCCACTTCTTCAAAAACTAAAAATAGGATTGCCAGGTGATCTAACCGTTTCACTTCTGGGTATATTCTAAAGAATTGAAAGCAGGGTTGCAAAGAGATTTTGTACATCCATGTTCTAGCACCATTATTCACAATAGCTAAAAGGTGGAAGCAACCCACTTGTCCATCAATACATGAATGTATAGACACAATGTGTCGTATACATACAGTAGGATATGAAACAGCCTTAAAAAGGAAGGAAATTCTAACACACAGTACAACATGGATGAATCGTGAGGATATTACACAAAGTGAAATATACCAGTCACATGGAAAAAAGACAAATACTATATGGGGCCACTTACACGAGACTCCTAGAGTAGTCAAATTCACGGAAACAGAAACTAAAATGGTGGTTTGCCAAGCGCTGGGGAGACAGGGGCAAAGAGACATATATGAATGATTTTAAAAGTGGGATAAAGATCAAAGTTCTATTTAGTTTGGGAGGCTGGAGGCAAAGAAATATGAGATACATTTTGTGATGGATAAGATCTGGAAGCCATTCATGCCAGTCCCTGCCTTGTCCCCACAGGTCCTAGCTCGCTCAGCCGGAAATATCACATTACCGTATCGGTCAGCTGCCACCCAGGACACCCCCAAAAGAAGGCCATGTCCAGCAGGTATGTTCTAACACTGATCTCTAACCGTTCATACCACCTGTCTCCATGTTCTTCCAGTCTCCTGGTTCCTGCAATTCCTAATTCTTTTATTCTGCAGATACCTATTGATCCTTTGCTAAATCTGAGGTCTTGACGTTATATCCCTATGTTTTCTTCTAAGAGTTTTGTAGTTTTAGCTCTTAAATTTAGGTATTTGATCTATTTTGAATCAGTTGTTGTATACAGTGTCAGATAAGGATCGAACATGATTCTTTTGCACGTGGCTATCCAGCTGCAGTTGTCCCAGCACCACTGGCTGAAAATACTATTGTTTTGCATTGAATGGCCTCGGCAGCCTTGTCGGAAATCAGCTGACCATCATATATGGGTTTACTTTTGGAATCCTAATTCTATTCCAGTGATCTGTGTCTGTCCTCTTGCCAGTACCACACTGTCTTGAATATTGTCGCTTTGTAGTGAGTTTTGAAATCAGGAACTGTGTGAGTTTGCCTACTTTGTTTTCATTTTCTGGAATTATTTTATCATGGGTCCCTTGAAATTCCCTATGAATTTTAGAATCAGCTTGTCAATTTCTAGGAAGAAGACAGCTGAGTTTCTGATTGGGATTATTTTGAACCTGTATCTCAAGCTGGAGAATACTGTTCTCTTAACAATGTACAGTCTTTTCATCCATAAGCAGGAGATGTTTTGCTATGCACTTAGATCATATTTAAATTTCAAAATAATGCCTTATAGTTTTAGACTACAAATCTTGCATTTATTTTGTGAAATTTATTCCTAAATATTTAATGCTTTTTAATGCTATTGTAAATGAATTATTTTTCTTACTTTCATTTTTGGATTTATTGTGAGGGTATAAAAATACAATGAAATTGATTTTTGTACATTGATCTTGTATTCTATAACATTGTTGGACTTATTTATCATTCATAATGCTTTTTCAGTAGAATTTTCTCTATATAAGATGATGTCATTTACATACAGACATAATTTTACCTCTTCAAGTTCAATCTGGATGTCTTTTAGTTCTTTTTCTTGCCTAATTACCCTGGCTAGAGCCTGCAGTACAATGTTGAACAAAAGCGTGAAAACAAACATCTTTTTTGAGAAAATCCTCAGTCTTCCACCGTAAGTATGATGTTAGCTGTGGGTTTTTGTAGATGCTCTTTATCATGTTTTCTTTCCTTGTGACGTCATATTCTGATTTTCCTATTGAGGTAATACTGTCCTCATATATTGAATTGGAATGTGCTCCCTCCCCTGCTATTTTTATAAAGTTTGTGATTAATTGGTATTAATTCTTCTTGAAATGTTTGGTAGAATTCAGTGGTGAAGCCATCGGTGCCTGGGGTTTTCTTTTTGGGTGATTCTTACTACTCAGTCAATATCGTTACATGTTCTAGGTCTATTCATATTGTCTATTTCATTTTGAGTCAGGTTCAGGAGTTTGTGTCTTTCTAGTAATTTGTACCTTTCATCTAAGTTACCTAATTTGTTGGCCTATAGAGGTTCACAGTATTCTTTTTTCTTTTTCTTTTCTTTTTCTTTTCTTTTTTTTTTTTTTTTTTGAGACAGAGTCTCACTCTGTTGCCTGGGCTAGAGTGCCAGGACATCAGCCTAGCTCACAGCAACCTCAAACTCCTGGGCTCAAGCAATTCTACTGCTCCCTCAGCCTCCCGAGTAGCTGGGACTACAGGCATGTGCCACCATGCCCGGCTAATTTTTTCTATATATATTAGTTGGCCAATTAATTTCTTCTATTTATAGTAGAGACGGGGTCTCTCTTGCTCAGGCTGGTTCGAACTCCTGACCTCGAGCAATCCGCCGCCTCGGCCTCCAGAGTTCTGGGATTACAGGCGTGAGCCACCACAGTATTCTTTTATAGTCCTTTTTATTTCTGTGAGTCAGTAGCAATATCCCTTCTCTGATTTCTGATTCTAAAATAGTCATCCATTGCCTCATGATGGGAACATGTTCTGAGAAACGTGTCGTTGTGCAAACATCATGGAGGGGCCTTACACACACCCAGGCTACCCACCTAGGCTACACACCTGTACAGCATGTTATTAAATATTGTAGACAAGTATAGCACAATGGGAAATATTTGGATACCTAAACATACATGAACATAGAAAAGGCACAACAAGAATATAGCATAGCAGTACAAAAGATCTGTCTAGAACACTTACCATAAATGGAACTTGCAGAGTAGAATTTGCTCTGGATGAGCGAGTGAGTGAGTGAGGGGATGTGAAGGCCTAGGCAGTACCGTACACTAGTGCAGACTGTGTAAACGCTGTACTCTTAGGCTACACTAAATTTATTTTTAAATTTTCTTCAGTAATAAATGAACCTTAGCTTGCTGTAAGTTTTTTACTTTATAAACATTATAGGTTGTTGTGTTTTTTTTTAACTTTTTGACTCTTTCTGGTTTTGGGGGGGTTTCTTTGAGGCAGAGTCTTACTGAATTGCCTAGGTTACAGTGCCATGGTGTCAGCCTAGCTCCCAGCAACCTCAAAATCCTGGGCTCAATCCATCCTCCTGCCTCAGCCTCCCGAGTAGCTGAGACTACAGGCATGCGCCACCATGCCCAGTTAATTTTCTCTATATTTTTAGTTGTCCAGCTAATTGCTTTCTATTTTTAGTAGAGATGGGTCTCACTCTTGCTCAAACGATCCTCCCACCTTTGCCTCCCAGAGTGCTAGGATTACAGGGGTGAGCCACGATGCCCGGCCTAAACATTTTGACTCTTGTAAATACACCTAGCTTAAAACACAAACTAATTGTATAGCTATGCAAAATATTTTTTCTCTATATCCTTATTCCACAAGGTTTTAAAAATATTTTTTTAATTTTGTCTTTTTTCTTAAAAATGAAGACACAAACACGCACATGAGCCTAGTCCTACACAGGGTCAGGATCATCAATACCAGTGTCTTCCACATCCACGACTCATTCCACAGGAAGGCCTTCAGGAGCAGTTTAACAGGCATGGAGCTGTCATCTCCTGTGATAACAATGCCTTCTTCTAGAAAACTGCCTGACGCTGCTTTAGTTACCTTTTTATTTGTAAGTAGAGGGAGTATCGTCTAAAATATTAATAACAATACAAAGTATAGTATAGTAAATACATAAGTCAGTCACATGGTCATATACTTCATTTTCAAGTATCATGTACTCAACATAACTGTATGAGCTATGCTTTCATGCGACTGGCAGCGCAGCTGGTGTCACCATCGTAGCCACAGATGTGTGAGTATGCATTGTGTTATGACGTCACTAGACAATGGGAATGTTTCAGCTCCATTAAACTCTTATGGGACCACCATGATATATGCAGGTCATTGTTGACTGGAACAGTGTTATGGAGTGCATGACTATAATTTTTTTTTCTGGTCAATTAGATGTTGTGAACTTGTTGATATTATTAAAGAGCCAGATTTTGGTTTCATTAATTTTCTCTATTGTTTCTCTATTCTCTCTTTTTTTTTTTTTTTTGAGACAGAGTCTCGCTTTGTTGCCTAGGCTAGAGTGAGTGCCGTGGCGTCAGCCTAGCTCACAGCAACCTCAATCTCCTGGGCTCAAGCGATCCTTCTGTCTCAGCCTCCATGTAGCTGGGGATACAGGCACGCGCACCATGCCCAGCTAATTTTTTATATATATATATTAGTTGGCAATTAATTCTTCCTATTTTATAGTAGAGACGGGGTCTCGCTCTTGCTCAGGCTGGTTTTGAACTCCTGACCTTGAGCAATCCGCCCGCCTCGGCCTCCCAAGAGCTAGGATTACAGGCGTGAGCCACCGCGCCCTGCCTCTATTCTCTCTTTCATTAATTTCTGCTCTAATCTGTATAATTTTCTTCCTTCTGTGTGCTTTATCTTTAGTTTGCTTTTCTCTTTCCAGTATCTTAAAGGGGAGAGTTATGTTAACATATCAAAGTTATGTTATCAATTCTCTTTTCAGTACCTTAAGGGGGAAAGTTATGTTATCAATACCCGTGGTCCTACTCCCTCAATATACGCTTTGACAGCTATAAATATCCCTGTACACTTCAGCTACTTTAGCTGAATCCTATACGTTTTGTTATGTTGTGTCTTCATTTTCATTCATCTCAAAGTATTTTCTGATTTCTCTTTTGATTTCTTCTTGGACCAATTGGTTATTTAGGAGTGTGTTTTTTAATCTTTAAATAGCTGTGAGGTTCCCTAATTTCTTCCTTCTCTTGATTTCTTTGTAATGGGGGAATATACTTTGTTTTATTTCTATTCTTTTTAGTATACTAAGCTTTGTGGCGGCCTAGCATATGGCTTATTCTGGAGAGTGTTCTATGTGCACTTCCAAAAGACATACATTTTGTCGTGGTTGGGTAGAGTGTTCAATAAATGTCTGTTAGGTCTAGTTGGTTTATAGTGTTGTTCGAGTCTACTATTTCCTTATTGATCTTTCTTTCTATTTCTTGTATGAATTCCTATAGGTAAAGAAAATTATGCTTTTCAGTGTGATTTGTGTTGCAAGTATTTTCTTCTAGTTTGTTTTTGTCTTGCTAATGATTTCTTTCTAATTTTTACATTGTGAACTTAATGCAAGTTTTATGGTTCCTTGTCCTACTGTGAAGGTCCTTCTCCTCTCCAAATCAATAAAACAAATGTCTCATGTGCTTTTGTACTACTTGTGTGGTTTCATATTTTACAATTAACTTGTTGATTTACCTGTCTTATTATCTTATAAGGAAAGCATAACAAAGAAACTTTATGATTTGTCAGCAGTAACCTTAGCTGCCCCAGCACCATTATAGAATAATCACATTTTTATTCTATCATTGATACCAAGTGTCATCATCCTACTATAGGAGTAGGAGACCAGGAGACAGGGCTGAGACCTGATGCAGGATTTGCAGAGTGGATGCAGGTGTGAAAGTAAACGACTCTCAGACAGAAGCTAAGTGGAGGGTCTGATAACCACAGGCAAGGAACTGCTTGTCAGCTACCTCTGTCACCTTGCATGAACTTTGGCTAATTACAGTGTCATTTGCACTACAGTTTAAAAATGTGTCCATCCTTGAAATCACCACGTCATTTCGGAGACCACTGTATAATGTACAAAAACAGGAGGGAGCCCCATTCTTTTAGTTACTACCTAAATTCTTAGTAAAAAAAAGCCAAGCCCTTAGGCTTGAATGTTCCTCCCCTCAATTAGTAGGATTTCAAAAGTCCAAAAACCACTTCCTCCCAGGAAGCTGTTCTTTTCCAGCTTATCCGCTCTCTCTTGCTCCGGACAGTGTACTTTCCCTTTCAATAAAAAAAGCTGCCGCTTGCTTTGTTCATGTTGCTTACTAAATGTCTTTTCCCCAACAATAACCAAGAAGCTGGAACAACCTCCACTCAGAGGCTGCCAATAAGAACACATTATTTTGCAAAGTGGATTTTTTTTTTTTTTTTTTTGAGACAGAGTCTCACTTTGTTGTCCAGGCTAGAGTGAGTGCCGTGGCGTCAGCCTAGCTCACAGCAACCTCAAACTCCTGGGCTCGAAGGATCCTTCTGCCTCAGCCTCCCGAGTAGCTGGGACTACAGGCATGCGCCACCATGCCCGGCTAATTTTTTATATATATATCAGTTGGCCAATTAATTTCTTTCTATTTATAGTAGAGACGGGGTCTCGCTCTTGCTCAGGCTGGTTTTGAACTCCTGACCTTGAGCAATCCACCCGCCTCGGCCTCCCAAGAGCTAGGATTACAGGCGTGAGCCACCGCGCCCGGCCTGCAAAGTGGATTTTATTTAAGTTTGGTTTTCTAAAAGTATCTTTCAATATAGATGAATATGAATCAAAGAGGAGGGAGAAATAGACCCTGTAGGGGAGAGTGAGGTCACCTGAAGGTGAAGGTCACCTTCAGAACTTGGCTCAGAACCCCCAGTAGCAACGGCTGGTGCAGGTCTTCTCCCCATACCTGGAGACAGCCTCTGCATTCCAGGGCAGCATTAGGTGGCCCCTTTCTTTGGATTATTCTTGGACCCTACAGAGGTAGCACCCATTTTGCATTCCAAGTCTTCCCATGGCGGGTGGCGTGAGCTGTCGCTGAAGGCCTTCCCTTCATTAGTGTGTTACTTCTGTGCCCGTTTGTGTCTTCTACTGTCCAGGAGCACATTGGGCGCAAGGATTAGGACTTTCTCCTGTGAGTCTGAGGCCCTAGGTGATGTCGTGTTGGCCTCTAGGCCCATGTGGTTATTGATCCTTCAAACACGTCCATTCTGAATTGAGATGTTGTGAGTGAGAAATACGCTGGACTAGTATTAAAAATAAAGTAAAATATCTCAATGCTTTCTATTGCTTACATGTAGATATGATGATGTTGTGGATATTTAGGAACAAACAATACAGTGTTAAAAGTAATTTGACCTCATTCTCTTCTCTGTGTCCATATGGATACTATGAATCTAAATGTCGTGCATGGCTCCTGGTACATATCTGTCAGTAGCGCAGGTTGGAGCTGTACAGCAGATGCAAAATCGATGACCAGAGCAAACTGGGTAGGTGGATTTCCCGGTTTAGATTCCACTGATGGCCAAAGGAGAAATTTCCTATCACCACTGCCAGCCCCTGGAAATTCTGTGGTGATTCATTCACTGGCTTTTCTCTCCCATCCAGATTTCCCCTCTGTCTTCACTTGTTTTGACCGTATACCTGGTGAGGATAACACCAGTCATGTGAACGATCTGCCTCACTGCTTACCATGTAAGTCTTGTAAATCACATATAGAACACGCTCACCCAACCCAGAGATGCAGTGCAGCGTGGGAAGGCGGGGGTGGTAGCCCACATGAGTCTGGGAACCAAGTTCTAGTCCCACTTGGTTTTTATCATGTCCTGTTCCATGATTATGTATGAGGTCAATAATATAAAATACAGGCCAATTATTTTTATAATGCATGCCCCCTGGCAGGAAAATCTTTTATACTACCAGTTGGAAGGGGGTGGAGGGTAACTTACAGCATGGGGAAGGTGTGGCCCAGGGCAAAGTGCTGGGTTTCAGCCATGACCAAGTTCTGGCCCTGGGCCTGGCTCAACCCAGCTCCAGGCTCCTGGCAGTGACTCCGCCTCTCTCATCCTCATGTCCTCAGGCCCCTCCCTCCTCACCAGCAGGGCCAGGCTTTGGGGAAGTCACCCAAGGGCTCCTCTCCTGCCAGGGTCTCTCAGGTTCTACCCCTGCGCCTCCCTTAATATCAACCGTGTTATCTAAATGATTCTTTTCCCATAATCTAATGGAAGAGGTCATGAATGTTGGTCCGTTTTGTATGACTTTGACTATTGGTGACAGCTGAAGGGTGGCTGTCCTCTGTGTGCCCCGAGTGGGCTGGTGTAGAATCTGGCCCTCAGAGCTCCTTGGTGACCTGAGCTGAGCTGAGTGGGAAGGGGTCAGGGTGGTGAGGAAGGGGTGAGGGACACGCCAAGCAAACGTATCCCCAAAAACTTTTCCTTTGCTGCAGATGAAGAGGAGAGAAATCTCTGCAATAGGACCACAAAAACACACGGTTGGTGCAAAGTAGATTCCTCTGACTTCTACTGGAAGTGCCGCGCTGGGTGAGACATGAGAGGCATGACGCTCCCTGCAGTTCAAAGGAACCCCCAGCAACCAGAGTTTCCTTGTGCCCTTTTCTGTCCCCTGAACTCCATGGGGCCTCAACCCTGTTAGGGCATCCCTGACCCACTGGGGTGTCCTCAGCCTGCAGTGGCACCTCCTGGCCTATCTTCCTGTCCCCACCCCAGCCCCTGCCGCAGCCCCTTCCCCCACCTCCCCAGCACGTGTCCCACTGGGCACAGGAGGCCACGACTTAGGGCCCATGATATTCTTCGGAACTCACGAAATATTTTATTTTGAAATCACAAGACTAATAATCCAGCCTGGGATATATTAATATTTATCCTTAAACTGATAGAGTCCTAAAATGTAATTTTTAGTGATTATTTTATCCAAGAAGGTTCCATGCAGACAAAAGTGTCCATGACACACAGAGTTCACAATAAGGCCATGGGTGTAGCTCCTTCTAGAGTCCCATGACAACCTGAGCCAATGGCATCTTCACTCAGGTCCTGGTCCCTCAAGATCTTCTTGTCCCTCTTTGGGGTTTCAGGGATGGAGAGTGATGACTCTTCTTTGACCCCAGTGCTCGCTGTGACGGGGAGGGACGGGCAGACAGGTGGGGACAGGAGCTCAGGGCTATTGGGGTTGGCTGGAGGATGTGGCTCAGCTTGTGGCCACATGGGCCTCCCCCCTACCCTGGAGGGAGGTTCCTGCTAACTTAGGGGTTTCCCCGCAGCCCAGGGAAGCCCCGAGTGCCCCGAGCAGAGGAGGCTCCTGGAGGCCGCAGCCCTGACCACGGAGCAGGGAGCCCGAGGGGCTGCAGTTCACGTGCTCAGATCCTTCCCCGGACTTAGCAAGGGAGAGCGGGCCCCCAGAGACAGGAGAAGCCCTTCTTTCCCTGTCACCTACTCAGGGACAGTGGGCGGGAGAGTGGCTCCTCTTTCATCCCATCTGGCCAGCTTTCCCTCACAGAATCCCACGTCTCCTCCAGGTGCTCCCATGAGATACTGAATAACGTGTCTTGTACTCTTGAGAGTTACAATGCGTCCCTTTCCAAAAGACCACCTACTAAGGCATCTGTGACAGTCCCGGCTCCTCGAGTGTTAGTGACCAGTGGCCCGGGGAATACCACCTCTCACCACCCTTCCTCAGACGATGAGATCCTGGTGAAGGTGATGTTGGGTATCTTCGGGCCTTTCACATTCCTACTGTTGCTGATATGTCTTTCTTGCTGGTGCACCCGCACAGGTATGTGCTGGCTGAGGGAGAGACCGCTGGGTACTCGTTGCCCCTCCCTCACCCTGCTCCACAGGCAGAATCAACCTCCCCTGTCCCCCAAGTCCTTGTCACCCTGTGGTGGTCACTCCATTTCCCACCTGATGGGCACCCTGCTCCACCCAGGACCAGGATGTCACCAGTCCCTCTCCCGGGGCTGGGGAGCCCTCCCCTCCCAAGTCTGGAGGGCGGGGCGGCCCCTCCCCCTTCCATCTTCAGGGCCAGCCAGGGCAGAGAGGGCATCGGCTCCTCCACTGGGGACCAGGGTCAGGACCAGACATGCCCAGGGGGTTCATACGGCTTTGGTCAGCACGGAACCACACAGAGATTTCACATGTGTTTATTTTTACTGTGTTTTTTCCTCCTGCCCCCCCTGAGGGTACCCCAGAGTTGGAAAGGCCCCATCCCTGTCCCCAGGCCGGGGATGCTTATCCAGCGTCTCAGCCCCCAGCCCAGCCCTGCCTGGACACTGCCCTCAGGGAGGGGGTGCTGCATGGGCCCCTCCCCACTTGCTAAGGGGACCCCCTTCTCTTCCAGAATGCTGCAAGGCCCTTAAGAGCAAGGTGAGAGTGAGTTGGTTTCTCCAGGACCTGGGGGCACCAAGTGCTCATGAGCTGCTTCCTGCCCACACGGAGCCCTGGGTGGGGTGTCCCCACTGTCCTGCACACTGTGCTGGCTCTCTGCAGTGGCCGGGGCTCTGGCTGACCGTGAGGGCACATGGCTGCTTTAAGCACCCCACAGCCCAGTGGGCCGTGCTGCAGCCCTGTCCTTCCTGTAGCATGGGTGACATCCCCACCCCGCAGCTCTGCTCCCCAGGGATGGGTGTGACCAGGGGCGTGGTGCCAGCAGCACATGCTGGATGTGCTCAGCCTCTGCCCACCTGGGGCGACCCCACTGGGAGGGGTGGGGATGGCAGGATCAGCAGTGCCCGGGCGAGCTGTGGGGGCCCTGAATGGACTCCTGAGTCAGCTCTTTGCCTCCCCAAGGTCATTTCCTGGTGGTGTGGGTCCCCACAATGGCCTGAGGCTAAGGACAATGCCCGTAAAGAGATCCGGGACATCACAGGCTCCTCTTATTCCACCCTGGACTCTGAGCAGAGAATGGAAAGCCAGGAGCTGCCATTGCTGACAGGTGTCAGTGTAACATCCTCATGGGAGACAGAGCCTCTGCTGGTAAGTGTGGTCAGCTCTGCTGTGTCCAGGACTTTGTTGATAGAGAACAAGGTCAGTGCCTTGGCTGTCATGGCCCAGGGGAAGGTGGAGCCTGAGGGAACAGAGGGACTGCCTGGGTCAGAGGGACTGCAAGAGAAGGGGTGTGGGGGATGGGCGGCGCATCGGAGGGATTGAGGGACTGCAGGGAATGGGGCTCCATGGGCCTCACTGCTTACTGAATAAGGGTGGCTTGATCTCTGCCATGTACTCCTAACAGAACTCAGGGAGCCCTTCCTCATAACAGCAGGAATATTAAATTTACTGCAGAAGTATTATTACATAGGACATGCTGGATGTAAATCTTTGTCCATATTTCTGATCATCAGAGACATCTTAGCAGTGGAATTTTTGAGCCAATGTGTGGAAGTGCTGTTTATTGTACACACACGCACACACACACCCCTGGTTTTGGTTTCTGTCAGTTCATACATTTTGCTCTGAACGTAGTGCTATTCCTTCTCTGTTTTTGCTATAGAAAGACAGTCATTGTTTTAAAGGTGAATTTCTTTGTTCTGACTATTTTTGCATGTGACCAGCATCTTGTCTATCAGAGTGTTATAAGATGTGCTCTCCTTCCTGTCCACTGTCTCAGTCACAGATATGGATCCCTAACTTCTTGCTGTCCTTTCCTTTGGTCTAATATTTTCATGTGTACATGTTTTTATTTTTAACTAATGAATTCTGTAGATACATTTACTTTTGCATTGCTTATAGCTTCAGAAAGATCATTCTCCGACATATGCTGAACATCTCTAATTTCTTATAGAGATATTTTGCAATAATTTGATTTTTGCAGAGAACTTTATAATCTAAATGGAATGTATTTTGTGATTTGATATGAATTGAGGTCCTTCCTGAATTGTTCCAGTTACTATTTGGTTTTTCCAACTGCCTTTAGCCACTAATTCTCTGGTTTCCTTTTGCTTTCAGTCTGTCCTTAATAACTGGTGACATGTTAATATAGACAATGATGTACTGCCACCTAGACCCTTCCTTTCTAACATCAGCACCCATTTGTTATTTAACAAAGAAAATGTAAACACAAAGAAAAACATTTTTAGAAAGTCATTAATCCCTCCCACTTGATTAGGGGCTTTGGCATTTTTCAAAAGAGGTTAATACTCACTTAACCACTTCAGCATGAGCGTCGACTATAGTCGATAGCCACAGATGAACACGCACAGCTGAGTGTCGACTATAGCCAACAGCCGTGATATAAAGGTGCACAGCCGAGCGTCAACTTCAGCCTTAGTAACAAAACTTGACTTTTCTAATTTTTCATTTATCAAAATAAAATTGTGAACATTTAAAAATAACGTAATAAAAACATATATGTTTATGTTATCTATTCTGATTTACATTACAAATAAAGCTTTCCTCATCACACAAGAGCAAAACAGATTCGTCGTCAATGCACAGCACAAACTATTGTGCAAATATGAGTGCCAGCTATGGGCAAGGTTTTGCGGCCGGTGAGCACTGTACCAAAGTGGTTAAAGTGAGAAAACTTAAACAGTATAGAAAGGTACTAAGTGAGTGAAGAAAACATCCTCCACTCCCCCGCACCCTGAACCCTGGATCTTTTTTCTGGGGTGACTCCGAAAGATAATTTCTTGTGATTCTTTGTCCAAATCTTGAAGCATAAGTGTATCTGTATGTGAAAGATATTTTATTGTATATAATATACTTCCACATAATGCAATTAATTTTCTAATATATTTCAAAATCCAGTAGAGCAAATACCTCCTCCTTAATTTTACAAAATTACCATTTTACTTAGATAAAAGTTATAATTGTTTCATAACATTTTCTCCATGTCCTAAATAATCATTCAAATTTGTATGGAATTTACCTTAAATGTTAAAAAGTAATCTAGGAAGAATTGGAATCTTGTTAATATTCAATATTTTTTTATTCCCAGAAGATGACATCTTTACCTACCTGGATAGCTAAATCTCTAGTCATGCCAGGGAATTTTCCTCAGTTATTCTTTCAAATAGGTTTTCCATGATTTTTTTGTTTTTGTTTCTTCTTTTCCCTCAGGGATACCTATCATTCTCATATTAGCTCACTTTGCATAATTCCATACTTCTCTCCGTGATTGTTCAGTCTTCTTTGTTCTTTTTACTACATTTTCTCCTGACAGTGATACCTCAAAATCCTTATCTTCCAGCCCTGAAACTATTTCTTCTGCTTGGTTTAGTCTGTTGTTAAAGCTTTCTGCTGTGTTTTCAAATTCCCTAATGGCTATTTCATTTCCTTAAGTTCTGTTATCTCTTTTGTAATGTTATCTATCTCTTAAGTGAATTTTTCTGCTATGTCTTCAATTTTATGTAATTTAATTAATTAATTTATTTATTTAGAGACAGAGACAGCAGACAATAAAACGCCAGGTGCTGCCAGTGCAATCCAGTGTCAACATAACATCCCAAGGGGAGACACAGCCTCTGCTGGTGAGTGTGGTCAGTTCTGCCCTGTCGAGGACTTTGTTGATAGAGAGTGAGGCCTGTGCCTCGGCTGTCCTGGCCCAGGGGAAGGTGGAGCCTCAGGAACAGAGGGACTGCCAGGGACAGAGGGACTTCAGGACAAAGGGGAGTGGGCAGGGGACTGGAGGGAGGAAGGCACTGCAGGGGATGGGGCTCCATGGGCCCCAGTGATTACTGACTAAGGGTGGCTCAATCTCTGCCATGTACTCCTAACAGAACTCAGGGAGCCCTTCCTCAGAACTTCAGGAGTGTTAAATTTACTCCAAAAGTATTATTACATTGAACATATTGGACAGAAATCTCTGTCCAGATTTCTCATCATGCTTTACGGAGACATCTTGGCAGTACAATTTTTGAGTCAATGTGTGGAAGTGCTGTTTACTGTACACACACAGACACACCTGGTTTTGGTTTCTATCAGTTCATACATTTTGATGTGAAAATGAGTGCTGTTCCTTCTCTCTTTTTGCTATAGAAAGACAGTCATTGTTTTAAAGGTGAATTTCTTTGTTTTGACTATTTTTGCACGTGACCAGCATCTTGTCTATCAGAGTGTTGTAAGAAGATGTGCTCTCCTTCCTGTCCACTGTCTCAGTCATAGATATGGATCCCTAACTTCTTGCTGTCCTTTCCTTTGGTCTAATATTTTCATGTGTACATATTTTAATTTTAACTAGTGAATTCTGTAGATACATTTACTTTTGCATTGCTTATAGCTTTAGAAAGATCATTCTCCAACATATGCTGAATGTCTCTAATTTCTAATGGAGATATTTTTGCAATGATTTGATTTTTGCAGAGAACTTTATAATCTAAATGGAATGTATTTTGTGATTTGATATGAATTGAGGTCCTTCCTGAATTGTTCCAGTTACTATTTGGTTTTTCCAACTGCCTTTAGCCACTAATTCTCTGGTTTCCTTTTGCTTTCAGTCTGTCCTTAATAACTGGTGACATGTTAATATAGACAATGATGTACTGCCACCTAGACCCTTCCTTTCTAACATCAGCACCCATTTGTTATTTAACAAAGAAAATGTATAGAAAATGAAAAACATTTTTAGAAAGTCATTAATCTCTCTTGCTTAATTAAGAGCTTTGACATTTTTCAAAAGAGGTTAATACCTGTTTACAGTGAGAAAACTTAAACAGTATAGAAAGATACTGAGTGAGTGAAGAAAACATTCTCCAATCCCCCCCTGCACACCAAACCCCGGATCTTTTTCCTGGGATGACTCTGAGAGATAATCTCTTGTGATTCTTTGTCCAAATCTTGAAGCATAAGTGTATCTGTATGTGAAAGATATTTTATTGTATGTAATACACTTCCACATAATGCAATTTTCTAATATGTTTCAAAATCCAGTAGAGCAAATACCTCCTTAATTTTACAAAATTACCATTTTACTTCGATAAAGTTAGAATTGTTTCATAACATTTTCTCCATGTTGTAAATAATCATTTGAATTTGTATGGAATTTACCTTATATGTTAAAAAGTAATCTAGGAAGAATTGGAATCTTGTTAATATTCAATATTTTTTTATTCCCAGAAGATGACATCTTACCTACCTGGATAGCTAAATCTCTAGTCATGCCAGGGAATTTTCCTCAATTATTCTCTGAAATAGGTTTTCCATGCTTTTTTTTATTTTGTTTCTTCTTCTCCCTCAGGGATACCTATCATTCTCATATTAGCTCACTTTGCATAATTCCATACTTCTCTCCGTGATTGTTTAGCGTTCTTTGTGGTTTTTACTATAATTTCTACTGACTGGGTTACCTCAAAATCCTTATCTTCCAGCCCTGAAACTATTTCTTCTACTTGGTTTAGTCTTTGTTAAAGCTTTCTGCTGTGTTTTCAAATTCCCTAATGACTGTTTCAATTCTTTAAATTCTGTTATCTCTTTTGTAATGTTATCTATCTCTTAAGTGGATTTTTCTTCCATGTCTTCATTTTTCTTTTTCTTTTTTGCTTTGTTTAAGGTGGCATTCTACTATCTCTTCAATTCCTTTCATCTTATTTGACATCCATAATCTGAATTTCATATCTGTCGTTTCAGCCATTTCCTTTTGTTTGGAGTTTATTGATGGAGAGCAATTGTGCCCCTTTGGGGGTGTTGAGACAACCTGTTTTCTCATGTTGCCAGAATTTTTATCCTTCTTTCTTCTCATCTGGGGCCTCTTCTCTCAGCTCAAAACAGACAGTAGACATGGTCCATCTGTTCTCCTCTGCTTGACCCTCTGTTGCTCAGTGAAGATAGGGACGGTCCCCGTATGGTGTGCTTGGGTCCCACTTGGATACTTCAGCAGGCAGGAGAGGAGCAGATGCACTGTGAACCTTTAACATTGCTGCTCTGCTGCACCCCCTTGGTTCCCCAGTGGTTGTCACAGGGCCGTTGTGGTAAGACAAACCTGTGGTGCAAGGTGCACAAGGGACATGGGGCTGGCCCACAGGATGGGGCATGCACTTGGGATGGAGCAGGTATGCTGAGTTTGGTGTACATGCATGTGGGCCTGGGCAGCCTGAATGCCAGCCACACAAGTGGGGTGAGACACATGTGGAGTGTGACACTGTGCAGGGTGTGGCAGGCCCACAGAACACTGCACACAGGCTGGGTGGAATAAGCCCACAGGGCAGAGCAGGCCTGTTGGGCATGGAGCCTGGGGGGGATGGAGCAAGCCCATGGGGTGCAGCACACATGCACATGGACCAGGGCAGCCATGACCGCAGGCAAGGAGGCAGGGCAGGCTGCACCAAGGACAGAGCACATAGGATGCCTGCATGGGACAATTCTTACTGCAAAGTGCCCTTATATGTAGACTCTAATGAGCCACCTATAGAGCCTGTGAGGACTGGTTGTCTCCTCTTGGGTTTGGATGGGAATTGACCAGAAGGAGACTTCATAGTTGGTTTGAATATTCTGTTTAGTTTGGTGATGGTCATACAGGTGACTACGTGGAATGGAACACTTAGGAAGTGAGCATTTATTGAAAGTAAATGAGTAACCAGCACACAGAGCCTGTGAGCTACGCAGGAAGGAAGGTTTATATTCATCTCCATAGAGACCCAGAGGGGAAGTGATATGTCGAAGGTATCATAGCTGGATGGATGGCTGTCAGGCCACAGTGGAATCTTAGATTCCTGACTCTGACCCAGGGTGTCCCCACTATGTGTTCCAGGCACAGGCAGAAGCTGAAGGGTCTCCCAAGAGCGCTGAGCCCACTGATGGTAAGTGTTTTGTTCCCGGTGATGAAGCAGGAGGACAGGGAAAAGAGACAGTGTCCTAACTGCCATCCCCTACAGCTGATATGGTTCTACCAGAGCATTCGATGCTGGAAGCAGAGGAGCCTATGCTATTGTCACTGGACCCTAAATGCCCCTCTCCCACTTCTTCTAATCCCCACTCTACGTGACCTTCTCTGCACCCTAACAAGGACCCTAACAACTCTGTCCGTGCCCTCGCCCACCTCCTCCATCCTCCCTTGTTCAGAATATTGGCCTGCTGCAGCCTGGCCAAGAGCCTCCAGAGAGACTGGGCTGTCCTGCATGGCACTCACTTGGCCCAAATGCTGAGCTGTAGTATAAACTGCAGACAGTATTCCTAAGACTTAATGCAAAAAGACTTAATGCAAAATTGTCTCATTAATAATATTTTGTATATTGATTACATGATAGAATAATAATATTTTGCATATCATAACTTAGGTAATATATATTACTAAAATGAGTGTTACTTGCTTCTTTTCATTTTCTTTAAATGTGACTGTTAGAAAACACAGTCTCATGTTCCTGGCTATTCTCTGTCCCTAAGGACAGCACTGTGCAGCACGTCGCACATATCTCATTTAATCCATTCGCAGTATGGTGGGCTGGGTAGGGTTCCTCCGTTTTAAGGTTGACTTTTTGCTAGAGTCTGTCACCCTGCTTGGCCCTGGCCTTTCTGCAGGTGTAGTCTCGGTCACCCTGGGACCAGCCCCCGTGACATGTGCAGCCCAGCAGCTTCCCTCCTCTGAGTCGCTGCTGCACCCACTGTCTGCCCTTCCCTCCGGCTCGTACCCCACGTTGCTGTCTGCCTCCACAGTGTCCCTCCATCCTCCCCAGGGGGCTGCAGCCCTGCCCGAGGGCAGGATTCTCTGGTGACCTTGACTCTCCCGGAGCAACTTGGCTGCAGGTGGGGCCCCGGCAGTGTGTGCTGGGGCTCTGTGGATGGGGAGCAGGTCGGGGCGCTGGAGCGGCAGGTCTCCATGCAGGAGAGCTCACTAGGTTCTAGGGTTCTAGGCCTGATGCAGGATGCTCTGTCTTTCTGAACTGAGTCCCAACTCACCTGACTGTCTCTGTGGCTCTTCTCCACCTAGCTCTGAGGCAGTTCTTTGACTACTTCCCAAATGTCTTGTCCTTTAAGTCCCAGAACCCGCTGCTGAACCTGTTCCTGAACCTGTTCCTGAACCTGCTCCCGAACCTGCTCCCGAACCTGCTCCCGAACCTGCTCCTGAACCTGCTCCCGAACCTGCTCCCGAACCTGCTCCTGAACCTGATCCTGAACCTGATCCCGAAGCTGCTGCTGAAGCTGAGGAGGCTGACGAATAATGACATTCGCGTGAGCAGAGCCTGCACTGTGTGCCCGGAGGACACCTTGTATGAAATGCTGGTGAGACGTATCAGCAGGACGGGGCGGGAGGCCTCAGACAGTCTGGGACAAAGACATGCAAAGGAGACCATCGAGGCCCACCTGGTGGGCTCCGGGACATTCATCTGTCTAGATGCAGGGTCTGCTATGTCATTGGTGTGAAAGATATAGGTACTTCTATACTTCTATGTCTGTTTATTTTTTTATTTATTTATTTAATTTTTTTTGGAGACAGATTGTCACTCTGTTGCCCGGGCTAGAGTGCAATGGCATCAGCCTAGCTCACAGCAACCTCAGACTCCTGGGCTCAAGCGATCCTTCTGCCTCTCAACCTCTCAAGTAGCTGGGACTATAGGCACACGCCACCATGCCCAGCTAATTTTTCTATATATTTTTAGTTGTCCAGCTAATTTCTTTCTATTTTTAGTAGAGACAGGGTCTAACTCTTGCTCAGGCTGGTCTCAAACTCCTGAGCTGAAGCAATCCTCCTGCCTCAGCCTCTCAGAGTGTTAGGATTACAGGCATGAGCCAATGCACCGGCCTCTATGTCTTTTTTATATGTCTTGTTAATGCTTTTTTTTTTTTTTTTTGAGTCAGAGTCTCACTTTCTCACCCAGGATAGAGTGCCGTGGCATCAGGGTGTCTGACAGGGGCAGTCTCTTCATGATATCGTGCTCTGAGAGAGCGCTGAGCAGAGTCTCTCGGTGGTGTGTGTTCCTCAGTTCGCTCCTTGTTATGCCGGTGTTGACGAATAGGTGCGGACCTGACTGAGCCACCGAACTATGAGTGTTTTAGTGTTGGGCCAAGTTAATGGCGGGCAGGAGAGAGACAGGGTTCCCGTCAGGCGGTTGACTCCGGTGGCTGTATATGTGCCTCATCGTGGGTGGCATTGTGTGTCCGGTGTCGCTCGTCGACAGGCTGTGAGTTTGAGTTAGAATTGACAGAAGCGTAGTGATGACCTTCGTGCACGGCGGTGGCGTTTTTAATAGTGCTATGTGAGATGACGTAGAATTGTGTCTTGATGTCTGATTTATTGCCTTCTTAATCGTTAATAGGGTAAGTTATAGTTAATATTTAACTTTTTGATAACTTAAAATCTTTAAGTTATATTAAGTTAAATTAAATTATACATAATTGTGTATCTCTTGAGTCATTCAGTTCTTTTTGTTGCCTCGTAACTGACATACTGAGACTTGGTTAAATCTATGAAGAAAAGAAATGTATTTTTTGCTGTGGATTTTTGGAGACTTGGGAGTCGAAGGTCTGTGACATGATCCATCTGGTCGAGCGAGGCTTCTTTGCTGATGGGGGACGTCTGAAGCATCCTGAGGTGGCACAGGGGGTCCTCTGGTGGAAAGGGCACACTGAGAGCCAAACAGGCTGTTCTAGCAAACTTACTATTGTGATGAGGAACCCACTCCCACAGTGACCCATTCATCCATGAGTGGTTCCTCCTTCTTGCAGGAAGAGCCCTGGGACCCAATCATGTCTTAATGGCCCCACCCCTTACTACTGTTACTTTGGCAATTAAGGTTCAAAATGAGTTTCAGAGGGAACAGATATTCAAACCACGGAAATGTTTCTTTTTTTTTTTTTTTTTAAACAGAGTCTCACTTTGTTGCCCAGGCTAGAGTGAGTGCCGTGGTATCAGCCTTAGTCACAGCCAACCTCAAACTCCTGGGCTCAAGCAGTCCTCCTGCCTCAGCCTCCCAAGTAGCTGGGACTACAGGCATGCACCACGATGCCAGGCTAATTTTTTCTATATATATTAGTTGGCCAATTAACTTCTTTCTATTTATAGTAGAGATGGGGCCTCGCTCTTGCTCAGGCTAGTTTCGAACTCCTGACCTCGAGCAATCCACCCGCCTCAGCCTCCCAGAGTGCTAGAATTACAGGCATGAGCCACCGCGCCCAGCCAGCAATGTTTCTTGAATGTCTAGATCATTTCTCAATAGAATATAATATGGAATCATTAATTGCTAAACGTAAGTTTAGGCTCATCTACATTGTCTTATTCCAGAGCAACAAAAGGCATTTGAGTCTATCAATAAACATGATTTGTGCCACATTTGAAAATTGTGCCATGAAGAAGCATATATTTCTAGAAATTATGAAATAATGAATTCATAAATTTGTAAAAAATAGTTCATGATTTCTTACTTTCCAGTGTTTGCTGGAAAATTGAAGTTGATAAGGGTTCACAAATCCAATTCTGAGATGAGGCATCCACTCCAGAAATAGTGACATTAATCCATTCACGAGGGAAGAGCCCAAATGAACTAATAAACTAATCATGTCTTCAAGATCCCCCCCTGTCAACACTGTTGCATTGGGTATTCACTTTCTAACTCATGAACTCTGGGGGACACGTTCAAACCATAGTAGAAATAAAAAGCTGAAAGACAGAAAACAAAAGAGTGAATCCTGTGTGGTCACTTTGATTAAAATAAAATGAATTTATTTTAAGGATTTTTAAAATGAGCCTTATATGGAGATTAAGATGATACAAAAGTAGAATTTGGCCTTCTCTGTTAAAAGGACAAAGTAAATTTTGAGCCGGTAGCTCTCTGGGAGGCTGAGGCGGGCGGATTGCTCGAGGTCGGGAGTTCGAAACCAGCCTGAGCAAGAGCGAGACCCCGTCTCTATTATAAATACAAAGAAATTAATTGGCCAACTAATATATATAGAAAAAATTAGCCGGGCATGGTGGCGCATGCCTGTAGTCCCAGCTACTTGGGGAGGCTGAGGCAGGAGGATCGCTTGAGCCCAGGAGTTTGAGGTTGCTGTGAGCTAGGCTGATGCCATAGCACTCTAGCCCAGGCAACAAAGTGAGACTCTGTCTAAAAAAAAAAAAAAAAAAAAAGTAAATTTTGGCAGGTAGTATTGGCTGCTTTAATAAAAACAAATTATGAAATATTTTTCTTTACATTTTAAATGATCTATGTAAAAACAAAGATTTGTGTTTCATCAAGATAATTTCCTGGGAGACAGGAGCAGCGTGGCTGCCTAGACATAGGTGGTGCATGCCTGCTCCAAGGAGAGGAAGCCAATGTCACATTGGGAAGACACTGCTGTGCCCTCCCTCCTCTCAGTGCTGAGACCAAGGAGGAACATGGCAGGCAGAGGAGGCAGAGGGACATAGAAACTCGCTCTCAAGCAGTGCACAATATCGCTACTAAACTCCCATGATTGACAGTAAAATTCTTCCAGTTTAACTCTGCAATTGTCTTCATGTTACTTTTAAAAGCAGTTGCTCCTAGTTTCCCCTCTCCCTACCAGCCCCTCTGTACAGACTTGAGTTTGGTCCTGCCCCAGACTCCTGCCTCCTGGTCTGTGAAATGAAATTCTCTCACCTGCCAGACATGGTCCCAGGTGTTGTAGAGGTGCTGAGCACACTGTGCTGTTCCCTGCCAGGGAGATCGTACCTTTTAATGAAATGCCTTTTAGGAATTTCAGTATGCAATCAGGAATCCCCTGCTTCTGACAGGTCCACAGAATGTAGCAGAACATTTACATTTTACTGCTGATTGACACTTGAAAATCAAATCAGGTGCTTTGACTAAAGCCAAGTTTGCTATACTTTGTGACCTTCACCTATGAATGCCATCAGCACCCAGGGGGCTGGGATGGATGATCATGCAATTCTTTTAAAATAAAGGAAAGCAAAACTCCAGAAATTACTGTTTTGTTTTGTTTTGTTTTTGAAGCAGAGCAAGGCAAGTTCATGGGCTGGTAAAAACAGCAATGGTTTAATCTTAATTCCTACCAGAGTATGATATGAGGATCGAAGTGATGTTTGAGGATGCTTAGTCCATGGTAATATTGAATAAATTAATTCCTTTATTGCTGAATAACAATTGCTCTGAATGTCTATTAAGTGATTGCTTCCTCAGGAATCCATATAGAATTCTTTTCTCAAGGATGCGTGTGTTCCATGGTTTTCCTGTCGTTTACATATATCACCCTCAGTATATTCATGCATTTCATTAGACAGGTGACTACAAGAGAGGGAGTCTCCATGTCATTCATCATTTGCTACATTTCTTTTAATTAATCCCTAATATTACAGCAAAGGAACATACCAATGTTTCCTGATTAGGCATTTTGTTGGAGACATTTTATTTCTTTTGTCATTTTTGACATCGTAAATAATGAAGCCGGTAACATTTTTGTACATAAATGTTTCCCTAATCCGATTATGTCCTTAGGCAAACAGGTAGAACATGACGGTTGTTAGGGTGAGAACGGTCTTGGCGACCCAGAGAACGAGCACAAGGGAGCCCTGATGGCCTCTTGCCTGACACTGTCCAGGAGGACAGGCGGGGAGGGCTTAATCTGGAAGCAGACAGGAGACGTTCCAGGTGCAGCTGCAGCGTTTAAAGGCAGGAAGGGACCTCCTTGGGCACACTGCATTGGCTCCAGGGCATCAGGAACCCTCATCTGCAGTAACTGGCTGCTAATGCCCCTGCCCAGATCTGTTGTAAGAATTAAATATGACAATAAATGCAAAGCTTCTAAATCCGTGTCTGGTTAACATTAGGCACCCAGTAGAACCTGGATCCCTAAGTCTATGGCACAGACTGCATATCTTTTGCCTACATGCCTCTAGGCATTAGTATTTTGAATATTCCTAAGCAAAACACACAGACAATGTCACAGGGGGTTCTGGGCTCTGTCCACTGCGACTGAGAACACTGAGAATCCCTTTTGACGGTGTGGATGGAGCTGCCCTGCTACACAGATGCCTGGGCAGCAGGTCCTCAGGGTGTGGCCTTCCAGGCAAGGTACTTGGTCAGAAGGTGGCAATAACAAAGCCAACGACGGACTTTCCAAGGCCCTCAATGGCTTCCTGTGGCAGCACCGCTATTGGCATGTGCATGTAGAGAGCGAGGGTGGCAGGGATTTTCAACCTGACTCAAGTCAGATGCAGCCAAGAAGGACAGGCATTGGGCAGCCCTCCTTAGCCCTACTGTGGGCCACCAGGTTGCCTGGACCCAGGTAGCTTCAAAGGTAGTCAGAAATTGATCACGGCTTTTCTCAAACAGGAGGAGAAAAGTAGAGGACATTGGCCATACATGATGACCACCCTCACTTTCTCCCTGGCTCACATTCAAATAGCCTAAAGGAGGAACCAGAGGAGGACGTGAATCAGACTGTCAGAAACAAATAGGAAGATGATGGACTGGCT